TGATGGCTGTATACCGCATATGTTACTTATATACATGTGTGCCTCTGTTGTGAACAAAACTGGTTAACTAAGCAATTCCAAACATCATAATTACCGATGCATGTATACGATCGCAAACATACTCTAAGTGGAATTATTCAGAAACACGACTCAAGTACTGTTAAGCCAAAGACACGTCAATGAGAATTCTACCTTTAAATCTGTATGAATGTTTTCACCAAAGAAATGAAGTCGATTTTGAGGACATTGTTTGAGCTCGATTATTTCGGAGAGATAATATTATGTGTGTGCTAAGGTCACGCCGGCTTGATCAAAACGAAATCTGACTCATTGGCAAAAACAATGTTTTTGCATATCTTTATGTATATTATGACAAGTATCTCCTTGCTGCGCCAGGCTTATTTTCCAGTGTAATGATCACGTGATATCGCAAATGAGCGCCAAACACTTCAGGATCGTCAAGGACTTGCACCTCCCTAAATGGAAGTATGATTAATCGTTCGAAAACGAGGCCGACCGCCAATGTTACTTGCGCATACCTGTCATCTGGGATTATATAAACTTGTTGATTGAAGCTGGCCGAGTGCAGGTTACTTATTTGTCTCGAAGAGGTCTTAAAGTTTGTTTTAATAGTTTTACAATTTAGAAATGGTTGGTATCTATCAAGTGGGTTGAACAAATTTAGAATAATGTATGCTGATTTGAATTCCGTATAGCAGTGACATTGCATCAGGAAATCATGATTTTAGCGTGAACTTGAAATTATCCAAACTATAATGATACAAATCTCGATACTGCTTGGCAATATTTTGGCCTCGACTTTAGTTATCAATACATTAATCAAAATTTTGGGTTCAAAGATGATGAACCAAATTTTGGCATAGACACAGTATACATAGTTATTAGGAGAGGAAATTGTGTTGAAATCTTAATTCATCTCAGCCCTCAGGTTAGTCAGGTATACTGATAATAAGATGGAATTGAATTACTCTTTCATCAAAACTTGTGGGATGCATGACGTTGTTTCGTCCATGAATTCCAAATCTTATTTCATACTCGAGTTGATGAGCCCGAATCGATACAAACTTCATTGGTAATGTATTCTTTGAGTATCTATTAATACTATTTATATATCAGTGATCAAAGAGAAGGAGTCACGAACAGCATTTCAAAATTGATACATTTCAATAATGTTCCATTTTGTTCGCGTGTCTCAAAATTGCAACATAATTCGTTTGTATAATGAAAACACTACCTGTTTCATAAGTCAAAATTTGTGCAATTACAGACATTTTATTCAAACATAATTTTGTGCAAGCAAACCCACATTCCTGTTGACACACAAGCATCAGTTGGGGGTATGGATTTTAATCAGAATTGTTTAAGAAAACAAAGAGAGATGCAGCATTGCTCGGTTGAAGTGGAATGAAAATTACGGGCTCAAATGTGACAAAAGGTTCGAAGTTTGAAAAGAAATCGTTGAAGCACGCAAAGACGAAGCGAGTTCATCAAACTGTGGGTTGAAATTGTTTAAAATATGACTGTCATTTGGTTCTGTAATCCGTCGTCATCTCACTGGCCGTCTGTTTAATAAATCAAACCCCGAAATCATCGTAAATGTTTTTGCTGGATAAATATTGCTTCGTCCCTTAAATAAACACAAAAGTCTTTTACAAGCTATCTGGCAACATCAAGTACACACTGCAATTGTTGTTTTTGTGCCTTAATACTCTACCGGGCAGAAACGGATAGTGTGGTTGCATGCACACTTAACTTCCTTTGACATTCACTCTTAATTATGCAAAATTAAATATTACTACACCAGATATAGAGGGGCAATTTTGAAAAATTCAAAAGACGCCTGTCTATGTAAAACAAAAGACGCGAGAAATAAGGTCCAACTGCCTTTCAATAGCGCTGGTTTTATAGTTCTTCCCATGCAGTCTTCATATTCTCTCACGAAACAAACGTTGTGAACGCGTTAACACCTTGTTCTTGGCAGCAGTGTCAGACCGCATGTGAGAATATGATAGCGTAGCACGAAGGATTTTCAACGCATTTGCGTCTTTCAATTTCAGGTGTTATTGACGAAAAACAATTTCCCTCGATGGCGTAAATATTCTATATTGAACCAAACTACGTCATATGCACAGATTTGCCGAACGAATAAAAACAAGCTAATATGTTTTGTTTTTAACGTTTGAACTTTGGCTCTAGTTGATAAGATAAACGCGAGGAGGACACTGGTTAATAATGCTGAGTAAGTGTGAACTTGTGTAAAAGCGAGGTTTCACGGTAAATACCATAGCATTCTAGATATTAGGCAATCATACAAAATTGCGCTTCCATTCGTGTTTGTTATGATGATGGCGCTAAATTCCGACGAGTCTTTTTTGGTCAACTTAAATCCTTTGAGGCAGAGACAAATCATGTCAAGACTGTGTATTGACTAGGATTTGACTTGTGGCATTATTGGACTGTTCCGAAACATGTCTTTACCATTAAGCATTCCTATAGCTAACACAACACATTAGGTACATTCATTGCGTATTATAACACAAAAATGGGTTATAAACACTTAACAAATATAGTGAAATGCCCCACACTAGTCAATAATCAAATACTTTTGCAGCTTTACCTATCACATGCAACGGAAGCTTTATTAATCTTCTTAGACGAAGATTTTTATTCAATTATCTGTTGACACTATTGTTAGGGTCAGGCGCATGAAAGATTTGCTGTGGCCTGGGATTTTTCTTGGCTAAAGTTTATAATAACTTTAATGAGTGTCGACTTGGCAGCGCTGCAATTCAGAACAATGGAATGTGGACATGCTCTTGCAATTATATTGTATTATTTCAAAGATTCTCATTACTTTTGCAACAATTTTTGCACCTTTCCGCCACAGACAAAACACGTTGTGTTAGGCGACTTCATACAATGACTGATTGACTTAATACGACGACCGATACAATAGCACAACAGGTAAATTGTAGTGAATGAACTTATCAGTTATGCGCCGTCACATCTGTTTGTATCGTTGCGTGGTAAACGAAGTATAGAAGTAAAACAAACCCCATATAAACATCCACAAAAATGGACAACTTTGGACTAACAGAGACTCAGAACATATGATGCGTGATCATGTTTAGCGGTCATGTCCTAATTTCCTAACAAAGAGATCTTAGGCCAAGCTGAAAGACAATAAAATATCCTACAAATGCGTAAGACTATATGGTGTAATCTCACAAGTCAGGGCTGAAACATTGCATAAATGCACCCGTTTTGATAATCAGTTGTTTTCAATTCGATATAGTTTTCTCGTAAATTTGGCGAGTAGCAAAATTTGGAAAATGACTAGCATTGCCATTGTAGAGCCATCATCGGTGAAGTGTTGTTTCGAATATGACGAATGTTTTTTAGCACGAACAAAGATAGATGTTCACACACTAATATTGTGATATTATATTGCAGACTTTAGGTGACTTTCGTTGTTTCGATCGAAACATGGGAACACCTATTCCTCTTTCAAACCAGTCCTGATTAAAATTTGATACTGATGTTGTTGCTTTTCAACGCGGTTCGGCTTAACCTCGCCGCAGGGAAGGGAAATCACATCTCGTAATTAACGTCAGAAAGGAATTTTTATGATTCGAACATGCAACACTGTTGCAAATAGGAAATAAAGTTTACCTTAGATAGCAGTCTGGCGGTGTATACATATTTACTTCGAATTTTAACTGTAAAAGGTGCGAATTATAAAAAGCCTAACTTTAATTAGTTAAACTCACTTTAATAGTATCGTCTAAAGATCATGATTTGTACGAGCTCTCACTCAAGGTTGCTTAGTTTTAACCAAAACAAAATGCCAAAATTAGCAGAGTCAGGCGTTAATATTATGTTAACACCAAACTTCAAGGAAATGTTTGGTATAGAACTTAGCAATCAGATTAGCAAAGACTGTGTTCGCAGTCATAAATCTGCCGAAGGGATTTGAGGTACTGGGTTCTAAAAGAAGAAACTGTAGATATTTTTATACTCATAAGAAACAAGTTTAACCCATAAGAAACAAGTTTAACCCGGGAATCTCGATTATCTAGTGAATGTGAAACGGTGTTTTGAACTCCTTCTGATGTTTACGAGCGACAGCTAACTTGTTAGACAAGCGACGCCAAAAATTATGGGTTCAAATAATGATTTATTCACTTTACCGACTGCGCACTTGAGAGCTACGATACTATACAAATATTTTCAATTGATCCAAATTTATTCCATTCCACATACGTGTCCCTACACCCGTATCGAATGACAGATTTAATTAATGTTGCAAAATAGCCCCACTTGTGTTTATATCGTATAAAATACAGATTTTACCCCGGGGCTCAAACCAGCATAAAAATGAAGCCGATACCGATAGACTATGAATGATACAAACACTCGAAGTCATATGATTTTTATTTTTTTTCATTCATTTTGATCCCCTCGCATTCTTACAAACTCAGCAATATTTTAGTTCACATAATATAATAGTTCCTTCCCAAAATGTTCTTTTTCTCAAATATAATATTAATGGAACAGTTTATTCTTAATAATATACAAATATATATAATATAATATATTAAAATTATTTATTCTAGTTCTAGAGGTCATCTGAATTAGCTTAATAACAAAAATAGTGCTATAACTATCGCCATTTAATAAATAATATATAAATATTGGTCATTGGTATAATGTGTTTTAGCCCATTACGGAAATTTTCTGTGCAGTATATATATAATATAATAATTACTTTTACTTGTGTGGTTCTTTCATATGGATGTGTTCGCGAGGCTTATTCACAGCTTATAATAATAATAATATACAATTACAAAATGATAGAATACTTTATCTTATGTCTTGATAGAAAAACGCGCAACTTAGAAAAAGAAATGGTGTCTTACACCATAATATCCTCCGGCAGACTCCAGAACATTGCTCTGATTCTGATAAATAACCTATAAAACGAATATATGTATAAATCTTTCTGACAATGTCAATAAGGATTAAGTTAGGGAAAATATATGAATCATCGCGAGCCGACTGAACTTCTGATGGATTTGATTACAATAAAATAGAGCATAAACATATACGTTTATGAATATTAAAATGACTCAAATCTTTTCTAGCCTATAATATATACGGCAAATAATTTTAACGATAAATTAGAATAAACTTAGGCTTAATACTTTAGTCAATTTACAAATAAATGAAAGCATAGGTGAGGAAGCACTATTCGCAAAACTATTGCAGTTCTTTGGCCGTCGCTGTGGCTTCAAAAATTGATGTTTGTTTGAAGCCTTCGTGTTCGTTTGAACTTTAGTGTGTTATGTTGTTGAATACGGGTAAGCGTCGTAGCGGGCTGTTTAAGCCTTGGTCGGATCCGTCAGACCCCGGAGAACCAGAAGACATTTCATCGCTTGAACTTGAATCAGGGAAGGCATCGGAACGATATTTCATTTGCTTCGCATCCATATAGCTCGGCGAGCGAATTTGAATCGGATTTGAAACAACGAACTCAGCGCGCGGAGCCGAAGGAAAAGTGAAAACAGTACTCACATTGTTTGACGGTGGCGAGCCAGCGACTTGCAACGGCAGTGGGCTTCCCAATGGACTATCATCTAAAAACGGCGTCGAAGGAGAAAGAGATAATGGCGACTCGAATACGGGCGACGGCGGACTGCCTGTTGAAATGGGAGACAAAGGTGTATTTACACTTTGACTCCTTTCCAAAGGTATGCGTTTCTCCTCGGCATTGTGAATGAAATGGCAGCGTGGTCCGTACGGGCAGAAGCCAATGGTATGAAATGTTCTGCATAGTTCTGTTTTATATTTTGGATGCCGAGTTAGCTGTCTAAGTTCGTGAAGGCCGTGAGCAAACTGGCATTTGTCTCCGTATTTACATGTTCCGTTTTCCTCAAAGGGTCTGCACAACTCGGTTTTGTATCGACTCGAATTCGCGATGTTATTCCTTCGTCGTTCTTCTTCCGCCGAAGAAATAGCACTAAAAGCACGATCTCTCGTTGGCCTGTTAACTATCATGGGATCGCTCAGTGTTATTAAGTTCGTCGGAGTTTGTCGAACACCGTTGGTGGAGTGTCTTCTTGGTAGAGCACCAACTATCCTTCTATCCCCTCGTGTTTTCAATTCGAGTGACATTAACTTATTCTAAAAACATTAGCGAAAACACGTAAGCTTTGTATTCAAATCTTGATGCAACTGAAACAATTCTAACGATCGTAAACGACGATTTCAAACAAAAAGATCGTAAATTTCTATTTGAATATCAAGATATCACGCAAATGGCGAATCATTCATTTCTATGTCTAAACATTTCGAGGGAAATTATTATACCTTCAGGAGAACATCGTCCATTTCGTAAAACGCTGAAACCAATGCTGTTGACATGATTGTGAAAAGCACGAGTACAAATATAATCCCCTTTTGTGTGTTTATTCCTTCGGGAATACCCCGCAAATGTGACTGCCTGCTCCTTTGCTGTTCGTGAATACTTCGCAGTGATCACAATATATATATATACACAAATGAGATGCGTTTTGAGGAGGTGTGTCAATTTTTATCTATTATCTAATGCAGATGTCACTGACATTGCCATGACGACGCTAATTAAACCGATCACGTGACGCGCGCAGAGATAAGCAAACGGAAGCGGTTGTTGGCATGCAAGATTAAATATCGCAAAGAAGGTCGCGAAAAAGTCGCATGAAATCGGCTTATCTGCGTCCAGCGAGTTCATAATGTTTCAAGTTTAGTCTAGGTGTCAAGTTTACTGGTAATTTTGTAATCGTTCGATCTTATTAGGGTTTCCATGTTGTTTTGCGTCAGTAGGATGGGCATATTGTATTACAGAGATGAGCTGCCATATAAGGGAGGTGTGTCAATACACACTTTGAACGCCTTTCCATCTCTACGTTAAGAGTCTTAGAATGGATATGACGGTTTTGATTTTCGAGTGCTAAGTTTATTATTCCCCCGAAAATGATGGCGAACGCATACCAGTTAAAGATTGCTACATCTCTGTAAACTATATCTATCCAGTTTGATTAGTGCGACCACAAGCTGTTCTCATTATAATAATAAACAAAAATCTCTGTTTACCGTGCTATTTATGTTTCAACACATTTAATTTTGTTTTTCTCATTATCAACAAGAAGTGAAATACTATTAATGTTTTCATGGTTTTTATACGAGCAGAACTGCTCTTACTTAACACATCTTTCATTTCTTTGTGTGCTTGTTGCCTTGAGACGTTAAATCGTTTCAAAATAGCGCGTGGTTGAGTGACTGACAGAGATAATGAAATACTAATAATGCGAGGGTATTATGTTACGCGTTTATGGTTTGAGAGTTGAAACAACCAGTATGCTGCTGTGACTTCGTGGACACGCAATGTAAGCGAAAGGGAGAACTGTTTGGGGCAATCATTTATCAAAAGCATTCCCAAAATCTCGGATTCCATCGCCGAAAAGATTCATCTGACACTCAGACGAGTAAATTTCTGTTTTCGAACTCGGCTAGTCTCTTTCAAAAAAATGCAAATCAATTCTTGTCTTCTTGACGTATTTCACTATAACTTTCGGACGAACCCAAGGCATGCTGAGTCGCTCATCTAAATGCCGTGTTGTACAGTCAAGATTGCGAAAAGTGCGGGTGAATTGCAACGTATTGACTTTCATTATTTGTAAAGAATAGTGATATGTATGAGTAAGAATACAAAATTTTAAAACAATATACAATGTAGACAAAGCGGTGATTCAATATCGCTATATCATGCTATAGTGGTTATTTTTATAAGACGTGTTATATGGTTCGAAATCCCAGCATAGACGTTAGTTCGAATACCATATTAAGGTGTTTCACCGCCAGAGGGTAAGAATATTTTGTTGTCACCACAAAAATAAACCAACGCTTCGCTCTGGCACTCGTGAGTGTTTCTAGCACGCCTCTACCTAAGTCTCATTGTTCAACTGTTCCGTTTCCGCTCTTAACAAAACAATTATATGTTTGCTGACATTGGAAATTTACTCCACGAATGTTTACGGCATTGTCTTGCACAGCAATAGACATCGCGAATTCGAAGCCGCCACTCAGTGAATTGCAACATTTTGCTGTTCCGTGTTCAAGGAGCAATTCCGCTTTTTTGCAGTCACATCCCATTTTGCCAAACGGAATATTTAGGAATCCCGCGAAAAGTCTTGAGTTCCCCTCCCTGCGGTGGGCTCTCACGTCATGGTTTTGCCCCACTTAACATTTTCATGCCCTCTTCGCCATCGTTTCCTGCGTGCAACAACAATACGTTGCAATATTTCAATTTTCCTATTTTTGTGCCTTATCCAAACTGCTTGTGACAGATTTTAAGATTTGTATGTTCACTAACACAAACAGACCGAAGGCTGGACAAACATGGGATTAAAGACTTTGCCTGAATGTGGCTAAACCTCAGGACCCCTGCCGAGGTTATTTTGAAATTTGACTTCAGTAACAACATTTACCTTAATCGTGTGTTCGCAGTACCATAAAAGTAAAGCTGAACTAACCCCTAGCCGAGCTAACAACGCGCTTGGACAAATATGCAAACGTGTTTTTTTACCGAATGCGAAACGTATTTTGCTTTCAATGCCTAGATATTGTTTGCTGAAGCCAACATGCAAATGAAGTCAGCATTTTTATACAAAACCCTGTTTTGCATACATTGCTATATATATTTCCGACTAGGGATAACGAATCATATCCGATTTTGTGTGAAGCAAGGATAGTGATGACGCCAATCACGTCAATGACACAATTCCCAAAACAAAAAGACTTTTGGCTTCAATGTTGCTCGCTTCACTGGTCGTGTCACAGATTAGCACTGCTTACACCAGGGTATAACGCATTTGGTGCAACACCAAATCACCGTTCTATATACAATGCGATGAAGCTAACATCACTACAAACCACAGCGTATCGAAAAAAAAAACGACGAGTGATATTAGGACCGGAACCTTAATGAAATGCTAAGTTAGGTCTTTTAAGCCATAAGTTTCTATTCTATCATGTCTATTTTGAAAACGGTGTTCCTAAATAATTCTTTAGACCACGAATTGTTGCATTCCACGAGGTAATTTATATCAAATTTGTACGTACCCCCAACAGTCTATTCGATAGTTTATTTTTATTCTTTTTTCATAAACATAAATATTATAAATTCCAGCACTTTTATTTTGGAAAAGCCGTATAGTATAATATATTTATGCTAGACTAATTAATATGATGACAAATAGCAATGACTCAGTGGAACACAGGCTGTAAATTGAGAAATTGCTCTCAATCAACTTGGGAGAATGGAACCGTCTCCATAAGTAAGGACATATATTCATTATACAATATGATGTTGATTATTATTATAAGGCACAGGACCACAAATGTATTGTTAAATTCTACTAATTTATAAGACTATAAGAGAATAGGGGTTTTTGGCGTGTACTACTCAAGTTTTAATCAAGGTGGTTCTCTGATGTTCCTGACAGGTAAGGTAAAAAATTTACCCTTTTTCAATAAGATTGCCTATTATTTCCAACTATTAAGGCAGATGTTTTTGCCTATATATAGTATCTGATTTGCAGTCACTAGATTACCCTGAATCACCGAAAATACTTTGTGTTAAACATGTATTCTAAGATTAAATCAGTGAGATTAAACGAATATTGGTTTGTCTGTCCCACAATGAAAACACTGGGTTTAGAATGCCCCACGGTACAACGGTGGTTCATGCATTGTCGCAATAACAACGGTGGTGCAGCCGCCCAGGCTGATCTAAAATGAGACTGAACAGTGGGCGAGGCTGTTCATGGAACATAAATAGGAACAGACTGAATGGTTTAGGATGTCCTTGAATGAGAAAAACAGGAATCTGGCTATCCCACAAGCTTAGTGGTTCCATCTCAGTCGGCCTGAGAACAATAGTTCATGTTGTCTAAACTGTAGAAAGGAAATTCAGATTAGTTGATTGAAAAAAAAATCGGCAAGTCAGACCCAGAAGTAGAGAGATCCACGTCGTTGAGGGATATCTGTGCCGAACCTCGAATGCACATCCAACTAAATCCTCTCTAAATCTATCTACGATTTTGTTAGAGATGTATGTGTTGTGCCTTTTTTAATCTCTGATATTATGAAGGGACCACCCGTTAATCCTTTGTAAGCTCAACCGAGAAGCTCAATACAACAGAAGGAAATCCTCTTTTTTGAAAGATAAACAATATCTTTACGTGAATGGTCTTGACTCTGCATATCTATTGTAAGCAGTTACTGTATTAGTATATGTATCATGCGTAGGCGGGTTGCCGTGATATTGCAATTAATATAACAAATTATCGGCGGGGCCAATCTGTGCTCATCCGAATTCACTCACATTCTCTGCTTTGGTATTTACTGCGGAAATGTTTCCCCTCTATTGTTGAATTGAATAAATTATGCCAGTCAAGAGTTATTGTCCCTTCTGGGGCAATATTTTCGTAGGGCAGCTTTAATTTAGCAACACGTAAATTTTTTAACACACATAACACGAAATTTTTTTTACATACACACGCCTTTCAAAGTTTCAAATTTTTGGCCTCCTTGAGTTTTTACACATCTACGTATGATGCCGCAAAAGGTTGTTGGTCGAGATGAAGCGTCTTTTTTATGGCGAATTCTTCCTGAGGCCGTGAAGATGGCCATGCGTGCATGCTTTTAATACGACACACATAAAACTCCCAGTGGTGATTGTTTATGCCAACAGGATTGAAGAACGTCGTGGTGCAGACGCCCTACAATCATAGTTGTCAACAATTTTGATACATTTCTTCGAGTTTAGAACAGGTTAATTGTTGCAATATTTACGTCACACACGACATAGTGTCTGTAAGGTGCGGCACAGCATAGTTCAACTCTGTTGTCATCACCAGGGACAAGTTAAACGTTTTTTATTCGTGTTCCAAAATTTGTGGACTTTCCGGCATTGCCCCACGATTTCCGGCCACAGGACTTTCGAATGTTTGCATGTGTTGGATGGACGTTTTTCCAAATACTACGATATCTTATAACAATCAGACATTACACGAATAACGTAATCCGTCCCACATGAGCCAAAGTTCGACATTACTTTACGTATTAACCGTGCTTTGGAACACGTACGTAAACCCGTTTGTTTTGTTTGACAAATATTTGAAAATATAATTCGCTTGTGTGAATGGGGAATTTTCGAGAAATTTTAGAGAGAGGTTCGTCTGTTTTATCTCTGCTCTAGCTGCGAATTTTAACCTTAACCCTCAGTACGGACGTTTTTCGTTGTACGGAACCTGGAACTTTCAATGCGCCGTCGAAGAGTTCAATGTTATGTTATTATTTATGGCATTCGCCAGTGAGATTGTGAGAGTCATAATAATGTATTTTGTTGCAAAGAATTCATCACATTTTTTCTCACGATGTTTCGATGGCGAAAATAGTAAGGATTACAAAAATGCTTTGTGTCTTCAAAAATTAAAATGACAATAATCTTTTTATAGGCTCGTAGAGAAATTCGACTAAAAAACAGTGGAATGTCCAAGCATATTTTATCATACGGTACAATTACTCAAAAAACCTCCTTGGACCAGCTTAAACTGACCCAGAAACGAATTCCTCGAAGTAGTGTTACTAATAATCAGTGTAATCGGTAGTTTTAGTAAAACTTCGAAACTAACAGTTCCTATACTGTTCCGAAAACAAGCATTTCGTTATCAGTTATCAAAACAAGGTACAATCTGCAGTATTTACAAAATAAATTATCCGGCGATTATATTAGGTCTTAGTTTACTTTGGTCTCGTTTAACCACAATAAACTTAATCTCAATGACGTCATTCCACCTGTTTCTATACTTGGTGGAAATGCGATCCGGGCAAAAATTCAGTCAAATATTTCCGCTGTTCTTTGGCAGACCCCGCGGAAATAAATCTGGCCCACTAATTGCCATACCCCAGTGCTCCAATATCATGATAAAATTTCTTAGTTTCGGTCTGTAGGTACTTCAGTCTACTGTCTTGCGACACACCTGCTGTAATACTTCGTGATTTAATAGGGCGTAAGAATGCGAGGACACTCTGAAAGGTGCCCCCGCCAATCGGTTTTCACTAAAAATACCCTAATTTAGTTTTAAATGAATAAAAAATGACATTTCCTAATTGAGAAATGCCCTCAAGATTATATGACGCATTTGTTTTGCCAAAAGTAGCTACACCTATGGCTTCTCTTCACTGATATTTTTGGATATTTCGACAGTGATTCCTTATTAAGTGGCACTCGTACATGCGGTCGAGGTTTTCGCTAATTATATTTACCCGGCGGACGCGTTCACGAATTCCTCTCTGAGTTATTGAACTTGTACGTAGCGCACGCCTTTCTTGACCCAAATAATCCTTTCTTTTATCACTTATTAGTCCTATGACGTACGGTTTGCTAGAATCCTTCATGAATCAGCTGTTTTGTTGTACATTTAACCTTTTGAGAAATGGATTGCAAAGAGTATTTACTAATTTAAGAATCAAATTCGATACTGATTGTTTTACGTCAAACGAGAAGTAAACTTTTTTAGAGATACAACGATATGCTTGTGCAGAGGTTCATGTCTCGACTGAAACACAGATTAGGTCCTACTGCATGAAAACACTAGGTTGCAGTTCACAGGGAACCGGTTCCTTGTGATAAACACGCACAGATATAAAATTTTCATCCGAACTAAAATAAATTTTGCAGCCCATAGCGTTTATCCCCCCTTTTGCCGCACAGTTTACACCCGCTTTTTTTGTGCAATCTAATATTCTTCCGCTCGCGCTCGTTGAAATAGTTGAACTGCGTAATAGTCAAAGTAGTCGAACATAACCTAAATTCTTCACTCTTCCAGTCGGAAATATCTGCATTTTCCTAAACGGTGATCCGAGCGAAAATCGTGTATATCCTCACACCAAAATTTCCGGCCATTACTGAACTTCTTCCCACAAAGTGGTCGAGCTACCACTGACTTGTATGTATTGCCGCAAGTTGGAGTTAAGAAATTTTCAATGTTTTTGCTCAAGGCCTATTACAATAATACCGCTGTATTAGGAAGAAAGGTTGCCGATTTGGTCGTTTTCAATTGTCCCCAGATAAACTAACCTCGTTCCCAGGGTCAATTTCCGTTTTTAGGGCAAATAAACTATTTCTTTGACTGAAAAGACGAAAAAATAAAAATAGAAAATAAAGTTCTAAAAGCGGCTGAGAGCATGTAGAAGCATATAAAAACAGAAAATAATTATGCCCCACGAGCTTCGCCCATGTACTTAAAAAATGGGTGCGTTCAAGGTTCAAGGACTTTTTATGCAGATCATTGACGTCAAGGCTCGGAGACGCACGTACATCATTCGGCCTCCTATCGGCTTCCGGAAGAAACATTCCGAACTTTCTGATTCAGTGCACGCAATTCATCCGACCAGCGGATTCTCGCAGAAGAGTAATAATTTTTTTTGAAATCTCGAAATTGTAAATATTTTGTGAAAAATTTACTAGAAAATACTTCAAAATTATTGGTTTGTTTGGTTCTAGTCGCTGTATGCTAGCGGTGATGTTAAGCATTAGTAATTATAGATGAAATTAACGCAAAATGCCAAATAAAATGGTCGAAAACTCGACCAATATAACCGATGTAACAGACACAAAGGATGATTCCGTGCATAAAAGCTTGTTGTTAGTTACTGTACGTGAGGGGAATTCTGTGCTGCCCGTCGTCCTACGTCGTCTATCGGAAGATGGCAAGGTGATGATAGGTTGGGAGCAAAGTTGTGGAGGAGGATTTCGAAAAATTGAGCCAAAACCAAGGCATGAATCTGACGATCATGAATGTGAGGGAGGTAATGGTGGAGATACACGGAGTCCGAGGTACGATGGGACTTTTAGGTAGCATCTAGTTATGGCCTATGGGCACCTGTTTGACTGAAAGTCCCTTTATACTTACAATTATTGGTGCAATCTTCTTTTGGCAGATGCAAAGGAGTGGTATAGTTCTGAATGTTCAGATGAGGCACCACTGACCTGTATATATTAGTACATTAGTTCATCTCGATTGAGTGCTTGAGTTCAACATGTGTGTGCATAAGAGATACAGGTCAGTGGAGGACACATACATGTTGGAGCATTCATAACTATATACTTGTTTGAATCCATCAAAATGCATATTAAGTAAACTCAGTTTCTTCATATCAAATGATAAGTAGCTATGAAATGTGAAGCTAAATTATGGGTACAGTTGTTGGCCTGGAACAGAAATATTTGAAGTACAACAGTCATCACTCGTGCAATCTGTTCTAAAAGGGCTAAAAATATTTAATTGACTGGGTTTCATATACAAACATGCTGTAGCATTATTTAAGTATTTTTCCACTTATGCATTGTATGAGACTACTGCAACTTGTTGTGGACATTCATGAGGTCAACATGCCTATGTCCCTAACAAGGGAAAGCACAGTTTTGCACCCAAATTGTTTCTTGTCTGATTTGTCTCAAAAGTATTGTATAAAACCATTCATTTTCCTTGTACAAGAGGGGAATGGGTTGTATATTGCAAAATATTTGTATGGCACATCTAGAGGGTTACCAAATCTTCAGCAAACCTCCTTTGCAAGTGAGGTCAAAGTTCTTTTTACATAATCAACCTATTAAGTACCTTATCACAACATACTATTATGGACTTATTATAATCGATCGACTTATACTTATTATTATATTCGATCTATTATATCCCTTTTTAACCCAATAAGCCATTGCTCAATCAAAGGCATGTTGATGTTTTAATTTTTCATTCAGAATACTGGAATCCCGGTCCACCCGGCGAGGTGTACGAATCTGCCCAACATGTCAGGGGAGGGTGGGCTACAGGTCCAAAGTTTGCAAGCATTGTTGGCTATCCTCTGGGAATTCTAGTCGACCTACAACCAATGTGAAAAAAAGACGTGTCAGGCAAAGAAAAGACAAGGCAAGCATTAAACATAACACAGGAGTCGTAGGCAGGGAGATGGTGGATGTTGATGGGCAAAGTACAGAGGGGGGCCCCAACACTATGTCTATTGATAACTTTGAGGTGCAAATGAACAATTCAAAATCCGACGAGCCGTTGCTTTATGTCCATGTGCCAACAACGTCCGAACTGGTTGATCATTACGGTGAAACAACAGAAGTTGCTCTGTCTGGAGATGATGCATGTACAATGGCAAACCCCAATGACAATGCTGATCACAGTAATGTTGCATATGAAACGCAAATCAGGACGGATGCTTTTTCTGCTGATAAAAGCAGTTTTGACGAGAACGATCAGGTCCATTGCCAGCATAGTGACGTTGACAGCTCCAGGCGGGAATCGTTAGAGCAATTGTGCCGTCAGAGTGTGGATCACGAGCCTGGAACGGAGACTCGTACAGCCGATGTAAGCTATTATATTACGGAGAATTCAGCGTACGGTGGTGCATCGAATCGTGTTCGTGCCGGTCACAAAAGTAGACCAGGGAATTTGGCAGATATTGAGGGAAACATGGCAAGAAATATCTGTCATTTACCCGAAGTTGGTAGAGAAAGGCTGGCATCCGGTGAAAAAAGCGTCAATTGTAATGAAAGCGAAGACGCTCAAAACGAGGAGAAAATTTCTGTGGAAAGTAGACCTGGCGAGCTGGTGGTACCTGATGGTGAGGAATGTCATCCATCAGTACGCATAGATGTCGATAACGTTGGTTTAGTTTCAGTAACGACCTCCGATGTTAGTTCAAAAACTGCAAATCATCAAGAGAGAAGCGTCTCTTTGCAGCCGGACACCTCGGAGAGTACGTTTGGTCTGGAAACGGGTTTAAATAATCAGGAAAAGTTGAACGAAGGCTGTGAAGAATATAGAAACACAAAACGAAAAAAGAAAGCGCGACTGTGGAAGGGACCGTATAATGTCAAGAAGAAACCTAAAGTGTCCATTGTGCAGTTTGTAAGAATTGAGCCAAAACCTTTTGTCGATGAGGAGGCAATCAAAAACAAACAAGGGGTTTTAAAACAAAACAGGTATGGACGTACAAATTATAGATTTATTTCTTTTTCTAACATTGCAACCGCTTTTTCTTTAACTTTCTTTATTAATCATTGCTCTTGTACTGGGGTCTGGGAATATATTTCACTTTGGCGGCTGGACGTTTGTGTATTATTTTCCCAGTCGGCTTTCGGAAACTACAAACGATATTTTATTGCCTGGAAACAGCTAAGTCAGATAAAACCCTTGAAACTCTTTTATATAATAAACATACATGTACCGCGGTCCACCACTGGAAAATAAAATTTTAAAACATATGCAAATAACCGTATACGCGGTTAGCACCTCGACCAGGGCAGCAGGACTGCTACTGGTACGGATTATATCCGTAATATGAAATAAAAAAGCAGGTTGCATTGAAAATTAAAATTCTTGTAAATTTCAGCGATAGATTCCAAATTCTTGTCTAGTCTTGATGACTAGACAAGCTGGCGCCAAGTCGAAGAACGGCTTCCAAAAATGTATCAGCAGCATAATGGCTTGCACAATAGTCATATATCGTAGCTGCTATAGAGTTCTTTTTCCTCTATTTTATCGCAAAATGTTAGCCCATAAGAAATAAAACCGCAGCTTAACTCCATTCATACTAACAAAAGTTGTTTGAGTTATTATTATCAAGGCTACGTTCACACGGGACCGGACGAATTTAGAACCATCATCGAATTCGTCCGGTGCAAGTGTTGACACGGTAAAAATGAATGGAAATTTGACCAGTCCTTCGTGTTCACACCAGGAACGCGTGTGAACGCAGCCTAACCGAGTTGCAGTCATGCATTTCTGCATTCAAAAAATACAACAATTCAATTTGGCTCCACGGTGTTTAGTGAATTGCCGGATTTATTGTTATTATTTTATATTATTTATTTTTTAAGATTACTCATTTCCGCTTATATCTACCGGGATTTAACTGATGCACCTTGCAAAATGAATCCAACAAAAATTTATAAACATGCGATAACGACATGAAGAAGCAAACCTATCTTGATTTTTGCGCCTAGATCGAAAAGCTAAGGAAAGACAGAACCAACCAATGTTCTTTTGTAAAGGCTTTTTATATATCAGCTCGTCCTTCGGCCTGCCAGTCAAGATCCCTTTTGGGTGTAAATATTAGCAATAAAAGTAACGATGTTAGAAGGAAACTATAATGATATTCTCTCAACAAACCTTGCTTCGTGGTATCGACAGATTCAACTCAGAAATATAGCTACAGAAAGACCCGCTACAACTCCCGCATCTTTAAATTACCATGCAATTTCTCGTTAAGACCATTTTATTCATGGCCCACTAACGGTTTTTGAAGAAAATTCTGTTTTTATTTTGATATAAATTTTAAAGAAAAACTTTCATGCTGCAAAAAAAGGCGGCGCACGTGATGTAAAACCCCCCTTGGCCTTGGGACTTTTTGTTTGCTTTCCTCAAATCAGTTTTCCGAACGAAAATTTTCGCTTGATTTTCTTTTCAATTGGGATCAATCGGGTCAATTCTCATGCACACCCCTTAACTGACTGCATGTTGTTGTTACGAAACGTTTGAGCCTGAGGGTCTGAGAGGCAATGAGAGTTTTTTGAAGATTAAAACACTCAAACAAGTATTAAACAGGGTGTATAAAAAGCCAACGCTAAATGTTCATAAATATGATCTTCTTTTCAATAACAAATGATTGTAGCTATAGGCCCCTGGGAGTTATTAAGGTTTGCCCTACGTTTTTTTTATTAAACTCGTATATAGACTCTTATATAATGTGATAATTGTTTATTTTACTTTGTTAGCAACTTGCGTTTTTTTTTAATAAATCGTATATAGACCCTTAAAAAGAGTGTGCTAATAATGTAATAATGGTTCATTTTAGTTTTTTTAGCAAGAAAACCAACAGTTAATAATTTTTTGTTTCGTGCTTTTTCTAGGTTGTTAGCTAGCAATCCAACGAGACGAGGTGTGATGCTCTGTCCTCTGTGTCAGAAGGATGTTGGATGCCGTTCGAGGACTTGTAAATATTGTAAAGTTGCCATCAATTTGTGCTCGAACAAAGCGCCACTTGACCAGAAAAATCTTCTTGCCGTTCAGCTCTGCAGGGAAACGTGTTCACGACATACTATAGTTTCTATTAAGAAAACTTTGAATGCCACCGAGGATAGATGTTTTCTTCACAAATTAAAAACGAATGAAGAAGACGAACTTTCTAACAACGAAGCAGGTGTGTTCTCTTGCGACTGCGATGAGGATAGCTCCATTGAAAGACCTTCCTGTGAGCATATTTTGTGCGTCTATAGAAGACCAAGGATCACACAAGCTAGAAGAATAAACCTTAAACCTGCCGAAATAGAATCCCTGCCCATCGATTTCATTTTTAAACTTAAACTTGGCGAACTCTGGGAGAAAGTCAAAGAAAAAGAATTTCCGCTTGTCCAACAAGTTTGTCAGAATACCCTGGTTGTTCTAGATGTCGATTCAAACGTCCAAATGACGCCTTCGAATTGTGTCCATGTTCGTTTCGAGAAGATCAGACGTCGAAGCAGCACAGAGCTTCATATTTTTTGTTCCGGAAAGACGTGCTCGCTTTGGAATGCTGCGATGGAGGATGAGGCCGAAGGAGAGGTCGAGGTCGAGAAAGACAATCCAGTTACGTGTTTACATTACTGTGTCAGCCTGTGGGCGATTGCTTCGGATGGTGAATTACAAAAATACTTTAAAACATTTCTCGACGCCATGCAAGTGTATCTACATAGTGAAGTTTTCGATAGCGTCCTGAAAGAATGAATCCTCGGGCAGGTCAAACATGAGATAATCTGTGTGTTGGTTCACCTCGCTCGGAAAATAGAACGTTCTGATAATTACGTCACAACTTTTTTTACTTAAGGCCAGCTTCAATGAAATTCTTATTTTACAAATAAGTTTAGAAATAAGCCTTAACACTGAAACTAGTCTTAATGTCTTGGCCATGCACCGAGCTTCGTTTTCGTGTATCGGTTTACTTTCGTTTATTTTCCAAAATAGGAAATTATTTTTTATGTATGAAGGGGTTTTTCCTTTTTTGGAGCCAAATCAACCGAGTTTAAGTTGTGACGTAGTTATTAGAAAGTCTATATCAAGGCTGAAATCTATATAAGTGAAGTTAGTAAGTTCAAGGAGCAAGTATTTAATCCATCGCAGTTGTCGCTGCTACTTTGGTTTTTGATAATGAAAATAATTACCACACAAAGATTACATTTTCATTATTTTAGCCAGAGTAGCAATAACAGAAGGGAAGAGCGAAAAGAAAAGATTTTTGACAATCTTTATGCAAAGTTTACGGAAACAAAACATTATAAAATGGTGTTTTCATTTTAGTCGGAAGACCAAATAACATGCATCAAACGTCATTTTCCCTTTCCAGTTACGCCTGGCCGGGATTGTAAATGTATAGAACCATAAACATTTCCACAACTGTTTTCTGTATGAAAAGTCAAACTTATGCACTATATACATTGCACAATTATATATACGAAAGAATAAATTAAAGTGCTTGGCGCTAAAAGTGCCGATGCCAAATTACTAAAGTTGGCAGCAAGTTGTATTCGCATGAGGTCGCTAAACATGTTAGCAAGTTCTAACGACCGTGTCGAGTTGTCAGACTTCTCGCAAGGTCAATAATAAGATTAATATTATACATGACATGTCAGTTTGTTAACAAAATTTTAACAACGTCATCGAAGACTTTATTGCATGGTTGGTTGGTATAGAATACTTGTAATTGTATCAAATCTGTGTATGTGATAGATGTCAATTGTTTACATTGGTTTGAAGTCTTCTCATTTGGTTCAGCATTGTAATAAAGCATTCAAATTTCCACAAAGGCGCTTTGAAAAGTTTTATTTTTTAAGATTCTCTGTAGATTGTGTTTCCACTGTCTATTTATCGCTTTTATGGCCGCAGTTTTCTATCCATTTACATGTACAAGAAGAGCTTTTGCTGATCTCATTCTGGGATCATGACGTCAAAAGTGCCTCGGCAAAAATCAGCTATCATGCGCCTGAAGTCATTTGTCTGCGCCTGGAGTTATTTGGAGGGTAATAACGCGAAAGACTCTGGTTTACAATCGACTGGAAAACGAACTTCATGTGTTCAACCATAGTATCTTTATCTTGTACCAGACGGTGTATCTGATGTATTACTGATTGTATTTGCCAACATCGTTTTGGTGAAAAGGTATGCATGATAATGTTATATGTTTTGGTAGTTTTGCGCTAGCATTGCCATTGAAGAATTACAAGTATTTGACTATAGTTTCTTGTATTTCTTATGTGGTACACAATAAATTACGCGCGTTCGATTTTAGCCGTGTACTGAATACTGTACAGCAATACTGTACAATCAGTACAACACTGTTGCGGGCACTGGTACTGTTTGACTGAAGCAATAAGCCATGCACTTTAATGGCGCAGCTGATATCATATTTAAATCATTCTATTAGAGAGGATAAAGTTTTGTATCAAACTATGGTCATTAGGCATGATCTGGGTATTATTCTAAAGTCTAGCTTTTTTCTATTGCTTATTCGTGTTTTCACAAACTGAGTGCATGGTTCACAATGTTTTTTTTTGTGCAATGATGCAACATCCAGTAAAGCAATCTCAACTTCGATTTGCCCGTATAACTTAGCAATTAAATATATTCTTTATTCATTTGGACATTTAAATTATATATTCGTACCACAACTTTGCATCACATAAAATTGTGTCCAGTAATTTCGATTAAGACATAACGTTGAATGTTTATTCGAATGGCGTACAATACACTTGCATGCATGCTTGCGACAGCCTTCCATTTGAAAACTGAGATAATTTTCGCTAATCTCCGGACTCCTCGTTATCCTCGACCTTCAACTGCGATGTCGCGAATGATTGCGGTGATTCTATCCTGCCGTGACCCGTCGTGGAACACTCCTACATTTGTCGGGAAAAGAGTAGGCTTAGTAAATTTGTCATCATTCCAGTTCACATAGAGATCACCGTCGTCATTGCAACGGAGGTGCACGAGACTGGAGATGTGCAAAGTCAACCTCATACCAGGGTGACCTATAGTGGTCACGTGATGGACCAAAATTCCTAGTTGGCTTAGCTTTTAGTAGGTCACGTGAAAATACACTGAGTGCGACGTTTAGCCTCGTACCCAGGCGCCCCAAACTATATATTAACTATGTAAGAAGTAATCGTATCACAGTATCATATAGAGCGCAGTTATAATGTAATCCTCATCCTTCCCAATACCCCTTGCGCACTCTCTCAGCACTCCTTTCACCCCACGTTTTAAACTGCACTCTATATGATACTGTAATATGGTTACTTATTACATAATATAGTTTTAGGCGCCTGGGCACGACACTATGTGAGGTTGGTGCAAAGTCTAACCTTGCAATCTTCAATTAGGCACAAAGGACTTGACTCATTCTCTCTGTCCTCATCTAACGACAAAACTCTCGGAGAAATTTGCTTAAAAATAAACAATGGAAAATCCAGTTACAAAGAAATAAAACCGTTTTCTTAAAAGAATTTTCTTGTAATCGGTGGAGATTAAAAAGTTCGGCGTTGACGTCGTGGATGGATAGCTATTGTAATTATTTGTGAACTAATTTCAATGCACAACTTGTGAAAATATTTACAGACTTGTAAATTTACATCATATTTGCATTGGTATACCCAGCAATCTTTACCTCTCCGCTTTCCTCCAACAGTTTTTCAACATCACTGTCGCTTTCTTTTAGGCAAGCCAGTTCAACCTCAGGGTCGACATCATCTTCTTCCTTTATAAACTTTCTGTCTGTGTACTTCAGGCGAATGAATTTACCCCTTTCTTCCCTAAAAACGTCCGTGAAATGAGAAAACGTTACATTGCAAAACACGGCTACAGTACACCAAATTTAACTTGTATCCCGTGTTATGGAGAATCGCATGACCTAATCAAAGTACTTTGTGGTTTTGTTTAGATAAAAATTGGAACTGTTGTGCAAAGTAAAAGAGACGGGATTCGAAAATCTGGTTAGATGGTAAATCTGGTTAGACGTGCAATCAATAAAAGTAATCCAAAAGTATCTGCATTTGGCTATTAGAACATCAAAAGGTATGCGCATCTGTGTCTAAAAACCTAAGTATTTGATATATTTCTAACTTAAAGTGCAAGAAAGCTAAATGCATGCGTGCAGTCATTTTAACGTGGGAAAATCCTGTGCATCATCATGAAACTTACTTCTTTGAGTCTCGAGAAGGTCGTTGATAACTGCCTAAGTTTGCTTCATAAATCGCGTTCACTTTGGTGTTGCCATTGGACTCCATGAACTGAAATAATATGAATGAAATATTGACAATGGAAAGTCATCAGTTGAAGTGAATTCTGTCAAATGAACTTTTAAAAATTATACACTGATCCGGATAACATGTATAAATTACAAATCCCCTTCATTGAGTCAACTTAGGGCTTGTTTACATGGAGCGAGTTATCCCGGCTAGGCGAGGTAAAAAGCGCATCACATCAAAGGCTTAACCTGATTAGTCTTTCATTATATGCAGTTTTCGCCTCGCCTAGCCGGGATAACTCGCTCTCCGTGTAAACAGGCCCTTAAAGTAGCTTTGACACATATTTTTATCATTTCTTGATTTCTACCTGGACGACTTTCTCTTCCCACTTATCCAATGTCAACGATCTAACTTTCGAAACATGAACTCCAAGACTTCGGTGAACACCAGAACATTCGATACACATCACTCCACCAATATTTATGCTAGCCCAATCTGGACCTACATACAAGATATTAAAAAAGACAACTACATTAGATGGTTAGTTTTGATACTGTAGACTGCAGGGCTCAAAATAACGGCCGGTCAATGGTCAAATCACATTGTTGTCCAAAATACTTGTTGACCACATTTGTACCAGGCCCGTCATTTTGACAAATTTCCGGCAAGATTCGCAGCATAAATGGAAAAACAACAACAATTGAAGACTCCAACGTGGAAAAATTCTGCCCTTTGGAAATAAACTTTTCAAAAGCGAGTTCTCATGCGGATGTAACTCACTGCATGTTTATGCCAAGGAAACTTACGTGGATGATCACAGTCGACGCATTTTTTGTTTCCATCGATTTTTCGGATTCGTTCAGACGCATTCGCGACATACTGTTTCGTATCTTCCGGCTTGACATAACCGTACGCGTAAGTTGGTTTCAGGGACTATAAAGGATAATTGTAGTCAATGAAGAATTCATATGGACATATAACCATTATAGATATATTGAAAATGCTCGAAATATTGGCGGAACATGAATCCCGTTTCCAGCCCAGTTTCTCATTGGCTCCCTTTCATACGACGTCATTTCTCGCAAACGCAACTGCTTGAGAACCAGTCTAGGTGTAAGCAGTATTAATACGAAATGTAGAACTTTAAAAATACCTGTAGTTTCTCTTTGGACTTTTTCAATGCTTCAGTCGTTGCTGCCTAAGACGGAAGGCGTACATATACTTAATATTTTAAAAATTCAGTCAAGCGTGTTAATGGCAAATTAATTTACAGCAAAAAAAAGCGAGGAAAGCCCGCTATATAGTAAAAAGATTTAACATGACCAGGGAGCAGCGTGGCAGCGTCTTCAAACAACTTAGCATGGCATAACAACTACCTAACTGAAATAGACTGAAATAGACGAAACACTTCTCGACGTTTCGACCTGAGGGCCTTCCTCAGGTCGAAACGTCAAAAAGTGTTTTGTCTATTTTAGGCAGTTGTTATACCACATTTGATGTTAAGTAGAGAGTTTTAGTTCGACGTTTTTTCTTCAACCGCAAAATGCAAACCGCGGCTTGACGTTCAGATTTTGCCATTTGACATTCACGGTTCAACCGTTCGAAGTGCATATTTCACGTGGCTGATTTACCTCATTGTTTTGTTATTTCAATTGTGTCCCGTTTCGCGTAGGACCAATCCTGGTTGGCATAATTGATATTCAAATTTCTCTTTATGATAATTTTCTAGCCTGTTTTCAATAAGGTCCATTTATTTTCTTCACGAAAGCGACGAACATCATTCAATAATACGTTTCAAAATATGGCGGTTTATCATAACGTCGTAGTTCGACAGTCTTTTCTTAAAATACAAGTTCTTTGCAACCCTGATGCAAACGACGTTTGATTATAGGAAAATATAAAGCATTTGGAATAACTGGAAACAATTTAACAGCGAAACTATAGCTGCTTATGTGGTGCACATTTTGAAACGTCCGACGACAGTCGTGAGGTATGTTTATAACAAACGCAACGTCAAACCCCTAAAGTGAAACCGCGGTTTTTCGTTTGCCGTAAACGAGAAACTAAAACTCTGATATTCTCAAAACGTTGGGCTTCCAACAAAAAGGAAAAGAAGTTTATAAGAACGTTCGCAAAGTATGTTTCTGAGTTGTTATCGTGGGTGGGCCCGACCGCCTTTGAGATAATTTTATAGCAGAACTGCTTTGTCTGATAATATCGTATTGTATAATGATCGATGTAAAACCTGAATTGCAGCAATCCATTGGTGCATGTCATTCTCAGTCAAAGCTTGGAAGACGTGTTCGCTTTTCGGCGAAGTTAACTGCAATATAGAAGCATGAATTTCAACAGAATGTAATGCATAATTTTCTCAGTTCCTCGAAATACTGGCTCAACCATAAAAGGTTATATTGTATGAAAGCCGGATAGTGATTTTTTCAACCGTTCTATAAATGCTGGAAAAGCAATAAAATTCTAACTTTGGAACCAACAATTATTGAAGAACATCCTCGATTTAGGAAAACTAAGATTTAATCAAAGTTATACCCAACAACGGGCAATTTTAAAGTGATTGGAAAAACTATTATCGGTGCAGATAGCGTATCCAGCTTTCAATAAAACTGGCCCTATATATGACTATATCAGGCAAGGGCATAATGAGCGAGATATTTGTAGCTTAATATAACTACACAAGATATAGTTTGTTGTGAATAGAATTAGAATATAGCATAATGATTGTTTTCACCCTTATTTGAACATGAATACATATACTGTATATGCGCTGGGTGAAATTAATTGAGCTACGAAGCAATTACTTGAAAACAGAAATTCCTATCCACTTCTAAGTCATCGAACGTTTTCACGTTGCTCAGCAACAAGTTAGCGATTTCAGCAGCTTCTTTCTGGTCTCTTCCTTGAACCAAGAGACTTCCTGATGATTCGTCGACAACAAAATACTGAAGAAGAAAAACAAATATCGCGTTATCAATGAAAAAAATTTAACAATTTCACAATTTAACGACTCTTCCTCCATTATAAACAAAGGCTGTCCCAATTCGTGCATAAATGCTGCATTTCACTGCGTTTCTTTTAAATGTTGATCCATAGAATTTCGATTTAGTTCATTATCTCATCGGCTTGATGTCTAGAATCCAGCATGATTTTAAAAAGTTTGTTTTCAATCGCGTTGGACGACTTACAAGTAAGGGCCATTTATTTTTCGGAAAAGACTTCTGTCTCATCCTTAGGTAACCGCGATGAAAATTCGGCCATTTTGAAACTACGGCGATGTCTGGTAGTTCGGGTTCTAAACTGTAAACAAAAACAGAAAACATTGCAAATAATAAACAAAAGCTTAGACTGGTTTTGGCCCAACTTTTTTAGCGTTTGATTAAGAATTTGTTTCATTTCTCACTGACTTGTCTTCAGACTTCGTTTCTTCTGCCGGGGCAATATTCGTAGGCTCGGTATCCGTAGGGACATTGCTCGAGGGTTCATTACTCGTAGGTGTTGTACTCTCTGCTGACTTGAAACTACTCCAGGCGTCTTCTCCATGTTCTACCTCATTCGTCTTTGCTAAATAAAATATCGACAAAAAACTTTTATATGAACATCAACACACTGCACTTAAATTACCATGCATCTTCAAACCGATCAATTCCATTCAACTTTCGCTTGTTTAAAAGCTGGATAGCCTAATCCCAGACACGTTGACACGTTAACTAAAGTCTAAAACTATCCATAGACTATCGTTTGCGTGTCAAATTTTCATTTCCTATCATTTGTTCACCTGGTTGGTCTAGAATGACATTGTCACCATTCGGCGTGGCTTTGTCCTCAGGCTCAGTTGTAGTTAAATTTGTACTTTCTTCTTCAGGTCTCTGTTTAGACGAGGTCTTCTCGCTATCTGGCAATACCTCCCATTGATCCTGAACGGAAAATGCAAAAATGTGTGACATTGTTGAACAATCATTCAAAGGCAGACATTTGAAATTCAAGTAAGTTCGTGCTATATTTGATAACCTAATTTGGAACGTTTTAGATTTAGGTGCACAAGAAACAATAGCTTTGAATTCAAGCGAAGATGGCTATTATACATATACTGTGAATATAAACCATTTTTTTACATTACTTAGTTATATGCCTAAACTGCATACTTAATTACCGAGTAATGTTTTTAGACATTAAAAACACTTTCGCCTATTTTGACACTTGCTACAAAGTTGTTACGCCGTTAATATCTTGGCGTAACAAGTCCGTACATTACAACTTTGCAAGAATTTGTCAACATGCCAGAATTACTATCAAAATTAACAATAAAGTTGATACAGGCTTCATGCATGATGAAACATTAGACTCGAATAAAGAAGTTTTAATGAAGCAATCATTAGTTCTTTCACAGAAGTTGTAAAAATCTTTTTTTAATCTGACAAGCAAGATACAAATGCACTTCCTACTTCTTGTGCGTCTCTTCCAGGAGCGGGCGATGATTGGTGCGAGGATTTTGGACGCCCTGTTTGATCAAAGAAACAGAAGACTTAGCATGTCAGGTCCTCAGTATGCAGGATGTATAAGACTCGTGGCACAAGAGATGATGGATACGTACCTGAGCTTCCAAGTAGGTCGTTAATTCTATTAAAAAACTTTCCAGCTTGAGTATTTACGGTTGTCATAGAATGGGCCAAGGTTGAGGAGCTACGAAAGAGTTTCTTTAGTTAGCAAGACCCTTTTATAAGGTCAGATCACTAATCTGATATATATTACACTGAATGTATACATTACACTGAATGCAACTATGCCGAAGCTAGTACTATGATAGAAAGTATTAATAGCATAGAAAATGCTGTCTATATAGCCTCAGCCGGAGTAGACAGAGAAAATGCTCAGATTCTGCAACAGGATGCTTTTACAAAATCAAGTTAGTTCATTAGTATTACCAATACATACAAATTCCAATCGCTACCTAACTAAGTGACAATTTTCGTTGCCAATGTCGATGAAAATATCTGTAATGGCCGTAAAACTCTTCTATAATACTTACCCAAGTATTGTAGCTGGCGTATGGAATGCACCTTTATCTTTTTCAAACGATTTGTCAATTTTCACTTGAATAACTTTCTTTAATTTTGCATCGTTTTCACACGATATCTAGAAAACGAAATAGTAATGTCTAAATGACTATTTAAATGTCGTAATGAATATGAACATGTTTACAGTATGTTTTACCAAGCACAAGAATCCAGGATATCCTGGAAAAGGTATTTAACATCAATATATCTATCTTTAAATACCTCGCTATGAACAACACGATTCAGCAAATCATCAAAAAGTTCGTTCGTGTAGTCTTCGGAATCTTTTAATATCTTGAAAAGGGAATATCAACCGCTTTTTAACATGGATATAGTGTAGGTTAGTTTCTTCGCATCCACGACTGCAGTTTTTTTAAAGTATTACTGTTAAAACATAGGTTTATAACTGTCAGCTCGCTTTAAAATTGCCATTTTAGTTTCTCACAATTGCAGTTATATGATGTGTTGCTTTTATATCTACATTACATGTACCTGATATGTAAAATTGACAAAAAAGAATTTTGCTAAAACGTGTTCGACAAGTGTTTTCACAAAGGATACCTAAAATGTAAACAAAGGGAAAAATACAGTAGACTTAGCATGAATATTTTTCATCTTTTTAAAAAGGTGAATGCTTTACCACACCTATCTTTCCTAAATTCATTAAATCAGTCAGCATAAATATACCTTTTTAACAGTGTTCATTTCCCTCAATGAATTTATATAAGTTGATAGAAGTGTTTGGTAATGATGTCTTGATGTAAGCATATTATAAGCTAGCTTGTCCAATATTGAAGGCTGCAATTATAGAATATATTTTAATGTAAATGTCAAAATGAAACTGAAAATCGAAGATGTTTGTGGAAAGCATGCTGGATTTTGACATCTGATCACGATTGGGACAGCATATTAGATATAGCAGAGCTTGTTTTGCAAGATTGTTTTACACCTTTCACTTTCTAAATGTTTCCTCTGGAACCTATTCAAACAAACTATCCAGTTTTCAAGTAGTATCCCGTGTGGGGGGCATTTTAGTTCTATATTTGACAGGCCATAGAGCTATATCAGTCTAGTGATCAGCAGAATGGCAAAATTACAATTTAATATATCAGAGTACATGTTGATATGACCATGAAGAGTTATTGGATGTGAAATTAATGACACACCTCTTGGAGATTAGTGATATTTTGACAACTTGAGAACTTTTCCCATGATAAATTCAAGTCATGACATGCTTTCTTGACTTGCTGTTTCATTTCCTGTTTTACAAAATAAACAATCACTATAACACATCTTTTAAAAAAGAACTTTAATAAACCTAAACCTCAAAAACACAAAAAAACTTACTTTGGTGGAGCGTTTAACAATTTTTAGATAGCACTGTACCTTAATTTTCTCAAATTCTTTAGCCAAAGTTTCAAGTTGCCCACACATGAGCATTTCAGTTTGGTTGAGAAACATAGCATGATAACAGTCAACTCTTTGGAACATATCTGCAAACTTGAATTAATTATGAAGACATAAATTTAAATATAATGGTATTGTAATATGTCACAGAGCATGTCATCAGTAAGTTTGTATGGTTGTTTTGTACAATGCAACAAATTTTGTACAATTCAGTTAAATGGCTATGCTACCTTCAAAAGTGGACTTTTCAGGTTAGCATCTTTTGCCAAAACATTTGCAGCTTTCTGAAGGCCAGTTGTAAAATTTTCACTCGCAGTATTGAAGTTCATGGCTGCCTTGTGGTATGCTTTTGCACAGTTTGAAACATGCCCAACAACATTACCAATCTAGAATGCCAAGGAGTTACAAAGAACTATATATGGACTTGTTCAAGTTACTATTTCCTTGAAAATCACCACCTAATTATAATTGGATTATAATTGACCTAGGACGATTTGCATTGAAAGAAAGAAAAAATGTATTGTTCTTGCATTTCCTTTTAAGCAGGAAGTACATGGGTTTGAACTTTTTGTAACGGCCAATACTCTTCAAAACATTTGCTGGCAATATCCCCAAGTTAATATCTTGCTTTAGTCCCTCGTTCTGTCTAATATCAGTTTTTGAAGTCAGTAATGGAGAGCTGAGAGCAAGGGTGACGTAATAGGCTAACTTCGGCACTGTGTCTGTGTGACAAAGCTTTTGACATTGTAAAACAATAAGCTAGGAACCACACAGGCATACATTGTGTATTGAGTATTGAAAATATTTTGTGTGAGTGTGATGTAGGCTGGTAGGGGGCAGTGATAAAGATTATATAACCTCATCTGACAAGTGTTCATACATGTTTATATCACCATTAAAAAGGCTGTTTTAATATATTATAAAGAAATATCCTATATACAAATCATGACAATTTAATCTTTTTTTAATCAGTAATAATTTGTATATAAATATAAAGATTTCACGTCAATGTTTAGGTAAACAGCCTCTCAGAATCACAACGTCCCTATATAAAGCAATCGAATATGTTGCAACAGCACAACGTATCACTTCTACACAAACAGAATTTATGTATTATCAACTATTAGCAATGGTAATGTTTATATTTCGAGAATCGATTATTCATTTCTCATAGACTCGTACCTCTTCGGTCTGTTGCTCCCAAAAGCTCAGCGATTGTTGGCAATGTGGACTTTCGTCTAAGATATATCCCAGCGAAGGCAGGTCTGGCAAAACGGTCGATTCGTTATCGATGTAGAATGTCATTTCAAGGAAGTGAGGAAGATTGTGCGATTATAAATACTCTGGATCAATTGGTTGATGCTCTTTCGATAACAAAATAGCGTTTCGAGCACTCCACAATTTCATTGATATTTAATCGTTTATGTTGTGGCTTGTCACAAAAAAAACAATGAAAGTTAATGTTGATCGGATACTTTGTTCAGGTCAAGAGCTTCGCTTCATTTCCTCTTATTCCCCCTCCCTGTGGGATATCGATTTAATTGTGTTTTCCGGAGGGGCATCGGCCGGGTGATTTAGAGAATGGAAGTCTGAGAAACAATCACAGGCCACTCATTAGACAAAGGTCAAGGTAACGAGATGTATTTTCGAATTTCTAGAAGTTTATTCAGCAGAACTAGATTTTGTATACTGGACTGAGGATTGTACTGCATGGTTGATTACTGTAATCAAATATTTAACTGATACACGTGAGAGTAATATGACTGTGTAGCAGCGGCTGGTTGTCTAACTAGTTTTTTTCCAGTATCGACTCAATATCCAGCAGCCACATATGTTGTCATCATAAACTTCAACAAAATACTAAATGACTGGCAGTTTTCCAGCACACAAATTCTAATCCTTACCCTAATCCTGGTCCCAATCCCTACCTTATTCTTAACCTAATTGTATAACACCCTGATCCTTACCTGATCCTAATCTAATTCTAATCCAAACCCTACAAAAAAAGGAAGCAAATTTGCCTGTCATTAAGGATTCAATGTAGATTCATGACAATATAGTTGGCTGTCAGCTATTTAAGATTATACCAGCTTATTATAGATAGCTTTTATCATTTGCTTTGAGGTGAATCAAAGCTGTCTACATTTGCTAAGCTATTTAAGCAGCAAATTTTGGCTTTATTTGTATTAACAGGTTTTTGAGGGGATGTGTGCGGAAACGGTCTCATGGATAAGTCAAAATAGTTCATATTTATCAAGCAATGTGAAGAAATTGGTTTGTTACAGGCCTGATGGCCTACCCCAGAGGGTATATTATGATCTATTCTGTGAAAGTGGGGTGTTGAACTGGAATGCAATTCTGAAGTTATGCAATTTGAATGAATGTGTGTATTGTGTAAAGTATTTTCAGATCTGTTGTTGCTTATGCCCTCTGCATTCTGTATTATAACAGTTTTTATCAAAGCGTTACAATTCTTTTGAACATATTGTATATAATATACCACAGTCTGGTGACCCATTATGTCGCTCTCTATCCCAGTATTCCATATATAATCCCTCTATATCACAACCCATCAATCATACCCTCATTGATTAAGTGATATCTAATGATATCATGTGTGAAGGAAGCATTTCTATCATATTATTAAGAAATAGAAAACATTTTCCGTGTTTCTATACAGTTATAGAAACACGCGTGGGAGTTTGGGAGAACGAGAAATAATCAGTGGGAAAACGAGCCCGTAGGGCGAGTTTTTCCACGTTATTTCGAGTTCTCCCAAACTCCCACAAGTGTTTCTATAACTGTATAGAAACACAGGAAAAAATGTTTTCTATTTCTTTTATAATATAACTCAATCAAAAGATTTTGTACAAATATTATAATTCGATTCAATTACAAATTCTCATTACATCGCTTCGCTTGTCAAGTTCGGCGGGAAAATTCCCGTGTTTCTATACAGTTATAGAAACACGCTTCTCGACCAATCAGCACGCGCGTACTATAAATGTTATATTATAATATAATTTGTTAAAGTCCTCCCATTTCTTGATGTTTCGAGATTCCTTTCTGTCACTTCCATCATGAATTTCCTGTATCAACTTTAAAGCTTCCCTCTCCACCAGATTCCCTGCCTTGCCTCCTCTCCTCTTGACCCATTTCTATCAAACTGTCCTCTCTAACTATGTTTCCATCAAGCACGCTTTTTCACCCCTTCTCCGATATTCGTTTGACAGGTTTCCCGCAAGATGGGGTGTCTGACTACTTCTCGGCCATGTCACGTTTATATCCAATATGTGATCAGGTCCATGGCAGTATATACCAACTAACAACTGAAGAATTTAGGTTGAAATACAAATCACAACTAAAAAGGACAGGAAAATCCAAAACACTACTTCAGTGTTTCACTTTACTAAAGTCCGACCAACCAGGTTGCCTCGTGACGTCACTGCTATTGCTGACGTCAACTCTCGAGCGTCTCCTAGGCGATATTTTCCTGACGTTTTCGGGCGAGAAGACGCCTTGTCCGCCTCTGTTAAAGGATTTGTTAAGGACACAAGAGCTCGAAGCTGTGCTGGGGAAGAGTTTCATGCGTTGTCTCGAAGTGTTTATTGGTCCTCCTTGTGGTCTCAATTTAAGAAATTTAGCTTGGCATGGTTTCTTGTCGGAAGGAGAGCTGCCTGCCCAGTATGTGAAAACCAATATTCAGTGGTCTTTTTGTGGCAACTTTGTAGAGTTCAATATTGCGCGCGACAATATGAGAACGCGGCTTAAACTTGAAGGTTTTTCAAAAAAGCTCCGTTTTTACTATACACAATTTTTTGGCAAGGAGAGGCTAAAATGGGGACCCGTACCAATTTCAGTCGTGCTCGCGGATTTGTGTACGCGTACCAATATTGGACTTTCTTGTCAATATTTGAGTGTAGAGTTAGTGTCTCTGATGAATAAATCCCAATTAATACCAATGGAATAATTTGGGCTGAATTTTCGAGGGCCCTCTGACGTAAGAATTGCCCAAATTTTACGTCTTTCGAATTTTTCTGTACATACACTGTAACTCATGACAACACATCGTGTTTTAAAAAGTGTTGGTCAACCCTAAAAACGTTTGTTTACACACGAATTTGGCTTCCACTTTAAATTTGGTTGCTAATAGACACTTCTCGAATTTGTTCTTGGGCAATGAAAACCAGCCCGCTAACATTAGATTATATTGCCCGCCTCGTTTCCAAGCTATTGATTTGTATGTTCTCAAGCAAGCATTATTGCTACTCTGGATTAATTAATGAAAGTAATCACCTCACAAAGATTGCACAAAGGTTGCATTCAATCACGACCCAATGAATGTAATCTGTCAATGGGTCGTGATTGTAATCTTTGTGTGGTGATTACTTTCATTTATTAAACCAGAGTAGCGATAATTGCGATGAATTTTATAGCTGGTTGCCGTGAACTTATTAACTTCAATAGTCTTCAGTGTTTTTTACTATCATACGTCTATGGTACATACACAGAAATCTCTTATTTTCCTTTTCAGATATGTGTCATTCTTATTATTGCTATCTCTCTCCATGTTCGATGTCACGAATTCTGAAAGCAGGCAGCCTACAAAATGTTGTGAAAAGCTGAACGAACGTCCGTTAATAAAATACTCAGAAATTTCTCCACTCAGAGACGTCTTTCCGGACATAACTCTAACGGGAAAACTGCACGAATTGTTCTCAAGAAGCGATTTTGTCACGAACTCCATGGTGCCTTTGTGGTATTTGGCGCTTGATTTTTTTCGACAGGAAAGGTAAAATAAGGACAATAGCCAATATTTAGTATGGGTCAGTTGACTCGTTCGTTAATTCTGTATACAGAAGTTCATTGATTCTGACTTTCTTTTTAAAAATCACTTCAGTTATATATCCAGTGTCTTATGAGATCAGTGGTTCATACACGAGTGTTTTGAGGTCACTCGGCTCCAAGCAGATATACCCAACCCAAACTCATGTTAACATGTTTTCCTCCGAAACTAGTTACGATCTTGTCGCGATGATTTTGCTGCCCCAGCTGGAGCATTCATTACGCAGACTCTACTCAAGTGTCAATGAGATGCCGGAAAGAGTTGAAACAGCAGAATCAGCAGAATTTTATACAACTTTTAATGAGGTATCGTTCGCTTCAACTACGCAACTTATGTCCCAATTTGCTTCCTAAAATATTTGCCTTTCTTCATTTCATAATTATTTTTCAAATTGCGGTTTTGGGAAAACACTTACCAATTCAGTAGCGTAGCCAGCCTGTGAAAACAATGAATTTCTAAAGACATGAATAATTATAATAACTCAAAATTTACATAGCGGGACAAAATCGTCAGGCTGGCTACGCCACTGCTTTGCCTCACATCATCGTAGGAACAAGTGTCACTGATGGATTGGATACTACACTCTCCTTTACACTTGCGATTTTTGCTGCGATTTTATGTGCGATTTTCTTGTTTTGATAGATGTGAAAGAGTAATTAGCTACTAATGCCATAGAATACCTATCAGAAGAATAACTCTATACTATTTTTTCGTAAGTGTGATTCGTCATGATTCGTCACTTAGCAAGTGCATTTTTTTGCGGTAGTCACCCCCCTGCCAATGTCTAAAATCAAATATTTAGTATTGGCAGGGGGGTGACTGCCTCAAAAAAATGCACTTGCTAAGTGACGAATCATGACGAATCACACTTACGAAAAAAGTACAGGAGTTCTACTTCTGATAGGTATTCTGTGCTAATGCTCTGATGTCTAAGAGCCCTTATTTGAACATCATTAACTAATTCACTCGTTTACATCTATCAAAAGATGTGTAAACGGGCCTTTAGGAAAATGGTGGTAAAAACAATAATTAGGACATTCCCGCTCTAGACCCACGGCCACTGCTAACAGCAGGAAATCGCAATTATCTTCTCAAATGTGATCGTCTATATCTCGATTTTATTTCAAAGGTCTTAATTTCAACATGTTTTTAATAAATGTTTCAGATATTGTCTCCCTGTCTCGCCGATGGCACTCCAAACAAACTTTTCGATTCTCTCGACTCTTGCTATATTGAACTGTTGTTGGACGTTCTTGTCCACCCTGAAGGTCCAAGGCTTCGAGACCATTTGAGTCACAGCGAGGTCGATATACAAGAATTTCCTAAATATCTTGCGAACCATGTCCTTGGCATAACCATCGCTTTTTGTCTGCGCTTTTGCGCCAAGGATTTTTCACAAACTGTTGGTTTTCCACACAGTTTTTTAACCATGGACCATTTTTCAAAAATATCAAAAGCAGTCCGGGAATATTCTTCGATTTTTCATCCATTTTCCTGTTTACGAAGAGAACTATCGACCATGATCAACAGTCTGACTGAATGGAAAAATTTTAGCCGACCAAATGAGAACGAATTTCGGGAAAATTGCAGTGGAGACTTGTGTGATGTAATCGAGTGGAAAAGTATAGTTGATACTATTTTGCCCCCAAATTTGTTTGGAATCTCTTCTGCCCAGATGGCTGGGGAATCATCGGCGGAAAGTGCTTTGCGAGAGCAGAGATCAATTATCGATGAGGAAGTATTGAAGATGATATCGAGGATGTTAAATGATCTGAATTTGGATACGTTTTTCAGACCTCGTTTTGAGTTAGAAGTAGTCGCTTTGTTGCGTCAAGTTGTTGATAATGGCACTCGAACGTCAATTCAGGTTGAGTGAATAACAATTGTCAATTTAATTTGTTTTTTAAACTTTGGCTTTTAAATTGTTTTGCGTTGTTATTTACCATTTATTAACCGAATACGAGGTGCGTACGGTACTGGGGGAATACTAGATCAAATTGTACAATACATTTTTATACTACATTCTCGTCCGTCGTTTCCCCAGCCCACTGCCAACTGTTATCAACTGTTGAGCCAGTTAAGGTCTGTGAAATCTGTAATGAATTCAAACAGACCAGTCCTGGTAGAAACGGCGGAAACGCAAATGCAATTGCAATTCTTTCGAGGGTTGGCTGAGAGAAAGGGTATTTGATAATCGCATGCACACACTCCTAATTTGCACAGGATTCAGTAGCCTTGAAACCATTGTTTATACTGGTTAAATGGTTAAATATGGGGTTGAATATATATTTCCAAAAAAACCGAAATATAAATAGAAAATAAACTATTGAAGCGAAAAGCTACGGAAGAATGCAGGTAGCCGCTTTGAATTGCAATTCCTTACTTGGTTTGATTTTCAGATACAGCAGACATCTACGGCAAGGTATAGTGAATGGGAAGCGAAAATCCTGAGATCAAGAAAAAGAAATAACTACAAACGATTCTGGGTCCATCTTCCTTCGATCGGTCAAACCCTATGTCTCTTGTCTGCTGTTGTTGTCGGTGAAATTATCAACATCGAAAAACAGACAGGCTCTTGTGTTAGAAAAAATAAGTAAGTATTTGCCTCGTTTCGATAACAAAGGTTCTTAGCAAGGACACCGTAAAAGTGTTTGGTGTAAAAATAATGCAGATTTCCAACGCTGATGAGAACTGTCAATTTTTTTCCTAGTACAGCAGGCTCAGTTTTTCAGCGGTCCACAGGAAAAAAATCTAAAGCTTGGCTTATCACGTGCTCGTCGATGCTCGTCGATGCTCGTCTTAATCTTACGTAGGACATCCACTGACAATATGAGCCTGGACGCGAGTGAGAGGGCGTTCCCAAATTTGCACCAGCGTGTTTAGTTAACATCTCTCATTGCATGCTTTTTAGATTCCTGAAGAAATGTCTCCAGTGTTCTGAGAACCTCACAAGCTTGTCGTCTTCTTCAAAGAACAGATGGTTGGAATGCAAAGAAGTATGTACAGCATGGCTGGACCAAGTAAGAAATTACTTCAGTCAACAAAATGAATAAGCCTCTTGAAAACAAGTAAGTTACGGTGTTTAGTGTAGAGATTACAAAAATACACTATATATACAAAGAGGGCATTATTTCATTGTTTACATCAACCTAAATTTAAAACTCGCTAGTAGAAAGCAAAAACGTAAATGAAAGTCAGTCGACTCAAAGTTGCTCAGTTTACACTTTCTATATATATTATTTTATTGATAAAACGTCTTTAAAGACATTTACAGAATTTACAACAATATTTACAAAAAAACACTCTCAATTTATGCAATGATTTCAAACGCACTCTCTATATAGTTCTCACCAGTATACTTGCACATCAGTGTTCACACAATCTTTGATTTAGGAATTTTTTAAATGGTAAAAAGTCCCAATTATAGTTAAGTTCCAAACATTCGTGATTTCATAGTCAACGAAAGTAGTCTGCATGATTTTTCAAACTTGTCCTTCAATTTCCGGAAACATCACCCCGAAACTTGAGGTCTTTAAAAAAGCTAGAATTTAATCCTTTCTCGAATCAATAAAGTACGAATCCTGGCAGACCTTGCCATCGGCAAAAAAAGCTCTATAAGGGATATTGCCAATATTATAGTTTTCACTTGAAAGAACATTTACCTATATTTGCCTATACCACTCGTGGAATCTTTATGCATTTGAAAAGAATGTAAAAAGTTAGTTAATATATTAAAAAAGTTTTTTGATTTAGTGCAACAATTTTGAAGATACTAGCCTTTAGACTACCTGCAGTTCCTGAGTCCCAGGCTCCTGTAAGCAATGGGCAGTTTCAAATTGAATAGCCGTGTTTAAACCCAGGAGGTTGGGACTCAGGAACCGCAGGTAGTTTAGAGGCTTGTATCTTCGAAATTATTGCACTAAATCAAAAAACGTTTTTTAATATATTAACTAACTTTTTACGTTCTTTTCAAACGCATAAAGATCCAACGAGTGATGTAGGCACTTTAAAACTACATGAATACGACCGCTCTTATGACACTTTTGAGATTTCACAGTCAATGAACACAGAAATATTAACATAGCCTGATTAAACCGCCAGGCTTGTTGCTACGCTACTATCAGCATTAAGAGATTTCCATTCAATGCAAACGGTCGATTTTTTGTAATCGTATTTTTTTTAATTTCGCCTTTTCACTGACAAAGCAAAGACAAATAGATTTTCAAGTCCTTTTATTCCGCCGTCGGTTAGAGTTTTTGAAGCAGCAAATTGTAAATATATTAATAGCCTTGCTATAAACTAATTAGCTGTAGTGTAAATATTTTCCTATTTCATTTTTCTTTATAATTGTAGCCGGTATTCAGCTTCGCAGCTGCAATTTGTAACATTTTTTAATAAACTAGACTAATTTTGAAATGCGTTGCAGTCCAGCTGATCTAATGAGATCAGTTCCGTTTGACTGTTTGCGTCTAAAATAAAGCGTCCGCAAAAAGTCGACCGCGCGTCATTTTGCACTTGAATGGAAAGCTGTGCTAAGCCTGGTTTTCATGTACATCGTAATTCATCAGCGACGTCTATCGTCGGTGGTCATTGAAATATAATATGCTTTGTCCACCCAGAAGAATTGTCCACTTCATTGATCACTGACAACATTCAAGAACCACAAAAACGTAAGAAACCAAAGAAAAGCATATCAAATTTTTCAGGTGACTTAAAGGGCGAAGATAAGAAATTTGACAACATTTTAAAATTAATGTGCAGGTCTGCAGGTCCTGATTTGATATATCACTTGCTCATTTCTGAAATTTGATTAGCCTTAGCGGTGATTACTAAGAGAACGACGGCAACGATAATGAATATGCCACCAAGTACAGGAACTGCGATAAGAACACCGCAGGCCAGACCCAGCGTTCCGATAACCTGAAAAATATAAATATCGTATCTTATTTCCGAGGACATAGAGACTGGGAAGGAGACTGGGAAGGAGACTGGGAAGGAGACTGGGAAGGAGACTGGGAAGGAGACTGGGAAGGAGACTGGGGAGGAGACTGGAATAGCTATAGCATTATTTAAAAAGACAAGTTCAGTTGATCAAAAACATGAAAGTTTGGAGATAAGTTTGAAAGTTGCCTTCTAGATTTTTGAGAAAATAAAATGCTGAGACGTTAGCTGCAGGACGGAAGAATTTGTGGTTTCATCATCTATCTTATTTTAATTTCGCTCCATTGGTTCAGCATTTGTTAAGAGCACAGAATCATCTTTTTCGTTATCTAAATGGTTAGACTGGATGGTCATAAAGTTTTACCTACCTGCTTCTTGATGTCGTCAATATCGTCTTTCGTCGCCTGACCTCCGTATTCTCCCCACAGAACTGGAATGCTTTTACGATACAGCACATCATTTTCCTCGGCGAGAAATGAGATGTTTAGGGCCCCCCTGATCCGTTCTACTGTCACCATGTTACTTTTTATTGCTGCGTTCATCTGTAGTCTCATGAGGCCTCTTATTGTTATGCCTGTAACGGGTTCCACGTCTGCCTATTATGGAAGATAGCAGAACAAAAGTTGGTTGGTTTTGGCTGGGATACCCTAGAGTTATTGAATCGCCTTTGGTTATGAACTTACGGTAGTATGAAGGTGATAAGAAGTAAATGTAAAACTGACAAACAGAAAATACATATTTCACATCGTTTGCAAGCAATGGATACTTTATATCTTCTTGTAAAAGAGAGATTAGCAATCATGTGTTTTAAAATCCTTTGTTATTAAAGTGTAAAAAGCCGGTGAAGAAAAGGTATTTTGTTGTTTTTTGGTTTAAAAGGATTACAAGAGGATTCAGTGTAACCGAATATGAGTTGCTCATAGTGAACTATGTTGTCTAATGTGTAATTGACTAATGACTAAATGAGCGATTGATTTAGCCAATCTAGAGCATTGATGGCTTTGAAGGATTGGTATATTCACTACAGTGGTGATGGTTATTGATTGGTATGATCGTACCAAATACCCTATGCCCAGCGACCTACAGTTGGCGATGGTAATGGCTATGTAATGAAGATAATGGTGGTGATTTTGAAACAGATCTTTCCCCGTTTTACTTTGTGAAAACAACCGAGCTTCATTTTTTGCAAATTTTAGTACTAAGGTAAATTTACTTTAATCACACGGAAGAATGTTAAGACATATGTAGTGTTAGTTTATCACTACATTCGTTTATTGCCAATCCCCCTGTTTGTATGCATTTATAGATATCTGTACGTTAAAGGAGTCTAAATCGACCTTACCATGCTTTCGTGTTTCGCTGCTTTGGGTGACTGGTTAAAGGACAACGGGTAGTCTTTTTTGGCGTATAGTCGATGAGCTAGGCTTACGTAAACCGGTACCCCACCTTGTCCCAACGAGTAATAAATGTATCCTTCATGAACACCGCTGTTATTCAGAAACGTATCCTTGTGGGGCGTAAATCTTTTCAGGTCAAGGCCATGGAGCGATGCTTCACTTGTGTATTGCAATTCGACGCCCAAACCAAGTTGACTTGCAAATAGTTCGAGTTTCTTAAAAGGTAGCTCGTGTGAGAACGCACAGGGTTTGTCGGCCGTTTCTGAACGAGGTACCGTCTGTGAGTAACCCTTCACCGTCGCGTCTTTTTCTGATATGCCGGGGATCCCAGAGACGCTGGACTTCCCGTCGAACTCTGAAGTACAGAAAGTTAACATAGTTCAGGACCACTATTATAAGTAATATTTATGACGTCCTCCACTGACTCTTACAACTTAACGACAGCGCTTGTCGTGGTGAAGAAAATGCGTTTGAAATAAATTATAAAATGACAAATCGCAACTAAAGAGGAAACTATTGAATAACTTTCAAAAGTTCAATTTTTCTTCTGAATACGCATTCCGTAATCTTTTAACAGCTCATCCATACACATCTGACAGCTGTGAAATGGCCATTTTGAGGCTTCAAGCACACAAGGTTATCAATTCAGACAATTCGTTTTTGCCATGTGCAGACTTGAAATCTTTTTTGCAAGAAAAATTTTGTTGAGTATTTATAAATCTTTTTCTCACCAAGTTTGAAGCCTAAGTATTGAAAAGTTCTACAAATTTCCGCGTTATTCGAGTGTTGTCTGATATTAAACAAGCAATCTAATATATTTACCCGCCCATTGATGTTTTTTGCTGTCTCCGGCTTCACAGGTATAGAAAGTTTCTGTTTTGGCAACTTTTTCAGCTTCACTTTCATTGTCATAACCTCTCACAATTCCGGGTATTGGAATCTTTTCAGGGCCAATCTCCATGGTGTACCCTAAAGCGATATCCTTCTGTGATCTCGTGGTGACCAGTTCGTATGATCGGGAGCCGACGAGAAGCCACATTGTGAATTTGCTGACATGCTGTATATATGGAAGAATCGCTCGGAACAAGTTGGTTCTGTTAAAACACTGTGTGGCAGCATTTAGACATAATGTACTAGAAATTAACCCATTCAGACCAGAGAGTTTCGTTTTCGTTGTGTTGGTCATCGCCGTCATTTGGGCTAAAAATCCGCACTTTTCCTGAACAGGATTTCTGTTCCCTTCGCAATCTTTTTTCAACGTCGCGTTTGTATCCGTTTCGCCGAAAAGTAAGCTCTTGTTTCTCAAGACTTCATAGAGTCCTTTCATTTCAGAACTCGTGAAATTTGTCGACGTGTTGTATTTCGGTTGCATTGCATGAATCCATGCTCCAAAGCCAGGATTTTTCCACCCGGATTGGGTCGGGTCGTTCCACGACGTGTTTCGCGTGTTGCCCAACTCTTCGAAGGAATAGTTAAACTGCTGTAGGATGAATGATATAGACCCGGGTAGAGAGAACATTGCGAATCCCTGATCACCTCCAAACTTCTTCATCAAACCTAAGTAGCCAGCATTTAAGATGGTGATCTAAAAATTAACAAAAAATGGTTGATGCAGACGGCTCGAAATGGCGACCGTTAATGGACAATTTAATAATGTATAAGAACATACTCCGGTGGGTAATGCATGGGTGAACAACATCTTGTAAACTCAAGATTTGAGTTTAGAAACAAGACAACACAGGTAAACTGGTGGTAGACTGGTGCTAAGCTAATCACAGTTTTCTGCAAATATTGCCCGAATTTTCTTTATAGAATTTTCCAAATTCATTAGATTCATATTTCTCTGAGGGGGCAGCTGCCCGACTCCTTTTCTGAGATGGCAACTACCTTGCCCCCCATAATTGATGCTTTGTGAATACGTCACAACATTATCTTATAAATTTAGAACCACCTTGAATGAGATGGATTTCAAGTTTTACTCTCACAAATTTTACTCTCACAAGCTATGTGGAAAGATGCAAAACATCCTTCTTCAACACATGCATGAAAAAGAATTTTAACCAATAAATGGGGAAATTAGTCGTAACACTAAAACGAGGCCACGACTGGCAGCCTCGTTCTTGTGTTATGGTTTATTTCAGTTCCACACTTGCTTGTCAAAATGAAAAATTCTTTTTTATGCATGTGTTAGAAGAAAGATGTTTTGCATCTTTCCACATAGCTTGTGAGCTAGAGTAAAACTTCATAAAAATCCATCTCATTTAAGGTGGTTCTAAATTTAAAACGATAATGTTGTGACGTAATTATAATGAGGGTCTATTGTGTAAAAAAAATGGTGTAACGGGGTCACCCGCGGCGAATTTATTAGCTTCCATATGGTAAATAACCTCGGATACCTTGTCATCCTCTTCGCAGTCATCACAAGATTCCTCTTTAAAAAATTTGGCCTTTTTCATCCACGTCTTTGATGAACGTTTATTTTCCCCGAAAGAGACGTTGATTTTCTCAGCTGCTTGCTTGTAAACGTATGGACCACGTTCTTCAAGCTGAAAAAAAAGTCGGAGAAGGCGGATGTGGGTATGTTGCAAAGCGTTACGTTAAAAAACTTTGTTAAAAATTGTCAGGGTCTATAATCTTCTGGTAGAATGAAAACTTTATTCAGCCCTCTATTCGTTTTACTCGGAAAATACTGTGTGACAAAAAGAACTATGTTTTTGAGGAGTATTCAGTTGAGCTATCGATAATGGTGTTCAGTGGCGTGGCCAGCTTGACGATTTGTGCCTATCTATGATCTATGCTAAATATTTTGGTGTTCGTTGACTGTGAAAACAATAGATTTCTGATTACATGAATAATTACAATAACTCGAAATTTAAATAGCGGGACTGTTGGTGTTCATATTCCTGTTGGTGTTCATATTCAGTTAGACAGCAAGTTGACTATCATCGTCAATTGATCTGTTACTTACGTTGGGATACTTTCCATTATAAAGAAAATCATCTTTGTTTGTTATCTGCCAGTAATAGAGTTTCGTAAGAACGCGATCAGGTTGCTCTTTTTTCTTTATCAAAATATAAAATTACAAGCATTTAGACTTTTAAATCTAAACTTAGCTAAATCTAGCAGTTCTTATATTGGGCCGGCGTTAAGGTGGGTATAGATGTCCCTCACACTTTTTGTCAAAGGTCAAAGGGGAAAAAATGTGCCCTTTTTTAAAAAGTAAATATGTGCCCTATATCGGTTGGGAAATCGTTTAATTGTGCATGAACATCTGGGACCAGTTGTTCGAAAGGCGTTTAGCTTAAACGGTGGATAAGCCAAAATTTGAAAATACTCTCATATCTTGTGAATGACTGAACCAGCATCTTATGCATTTAATATGTGCTTCCATTAACAGTTAAACTATTTACATCAAAATATTTCAGCTCAGTTGTTCAATAAATAGATTATCAACCGTTTATAAGCTAAACGCCTTTCGAACAACCGGCCCCTGGTCCGGATCTGTGCTCTTGTACTTCTTAAGATGAAAACGTTTGGTTTAAACGTAATGGTCTTCATTATCGTTATATAAAGGCTTATTTGGATGCACGAATCGGTGTCATGGACACTTAACTTAGCAATAAGTATATTGCTCTATATATAGGTTTTCGCTAAAATAGCTATAGGCTATCTCGGGAAGATCTTAGTCTATATAATTACCGGTAATCGAAGACATATGGAATTATTTCTTTTTTAAAAAACTATTATATGTTTTGATAGGGATCGATCATCATTGACATATAGCCGCGGGGTGAGAATTATTGAAGGAAAAATCGTGAGGTATACTAAAAATGACAAAGACATGTATGAAATGGGGTACACAAAGACATGTATGAAATGAGGTACACAAAACCGGGGGGGGGATGAAAAAATTGTCAATACTATCATTTTATCATGTTACCATCAGTCAAATGAATGACACTGAAGTGTATAGTCAACACAGCTCTTTACCAATCAACATGCACATCTCTTTAATGTGTGATGGATTAACGTTTTTTCATCGTTTTGAAGTGGGGTGAAAAAAACACACAAAAAAGGTGGGCGGGTATAGGAAGAATATTCGGTAGGAAGAATTAATCTACTCCTGTCGTGTATAGTGAATTCATTTGCTATATAATATCTGCTGGGCTCTGGAACAGCGGTCTATGCATGAACCGTTAAATCTTTAATAGTTTAACATTAAAATAAACTGGATTTCCTCCTTTTACATGCATCAAGATCTAGCTACTGCATGCAGGGAAAATTTTAAACGGCAGAACTTTAATTATGGTATTTTATTTCAATTTCGTAAGAATAAAAGTATTGCATGTTTTTAGATTTAGATATAAAATCATTTATTCATATATATCTGCTATATATTGATGCATATATCCACCTGGGGTATTCTCAAGTTAATGAATGAAGTAGCATACGAGCAGTTAAATTTCATTTCTGACACCTACTAAGTATAGTGAGACAGCATTGACACAAGTATAGTAATTATCATCGCTTCGCCTTGCCAAATACAATTAAAGGCTTTAAAACGCTATACTACTTATAGCTAAAGCGAAAACAAGTTGAATATTCTATATAACTGCGCAAGTACATGCAACCGCTCTGTGTTTTTGAATTCTATTTCTTGAAATTGTCAACGTGTGTAACATTAAATTTTGCTCGCAGGCAAAATGACAACAACTATAATTTCTCTATATAACTGCATGCCTTGTCTTACCCAGCAGATAACGACGGATTCGTTGTGTCGGCCTGTTTTCAGCTGAGGCACATGTCTTCACGAGATAGACTTATCGACTTGTCTAAAAATACTTCAGCTATCATGCGTGGATATCAGTGAAATACTTGCGTGCGATTATAATGTTGACAATTTTATTTCCAGCCGGCTAGCTTTTCTGCATGTATTTTCGTGGTGCATGCATGTGCAATATATATATATACCTATAAGCTATATATATTAGATTTTTCAGTTCATGCACGTCTGTCGCCTGTGGCTACCGTACTTTAGTCTATGTAGCCAAGTGAAAACCGTCTAAAACCGCCTTAGACTTAGTAAAGTACAAAGGGTTGTATAGTATAAAGCAGTACTACTTTTAAAAAAAGCACATATATTGATCTAATATGAGTACAAGTGCGTCTAGCTATAATATCTCCTATAATTATTTTGTATATTATTGTATACCTTTATTGTATAATTTATACTAGCTATTAATATATATATATATATATATATATATATATATATATATATATATATATATATTAATATATATATATATATTGCGAAATATTGAAACATTCAAATATATTGGCATTACTCTCCTGACACTGTAATTGTGGACAAAAAAAATTAATATACAGCGTGTAAAAATATATGCTATAACCTATATATTATTCTGCTATATATAGCTTTGTATACTTTTCATATATACGCGCTTGTTTACTTTTAAGCAGGTGACTCGTCGTTTCCTATAGTATATATTGCATATAAATCCTGAAATATATAATTTTATGCATGTTTTGTTTATGATTTTCGACTTAAAATTTCTGCTTAGCCGTAGCTATACCAAGCCAAGGTCCAATGTTATATGCTATTCACCAACACAAGCGTTTTCCTATTACAAACATGGAGCTTGAATTCGATTTGATTGCACGGGCGCTTATATAAATAAAATATACGGTTTGTTGTTAATGCATACTATTTCTCGATAGGACATATAGATTATAGGTTTTAATAAATGCGTGTATGTGTGATATAGCAGGTTTGAATCGAAGTGTGACGCTTGACGCCCTGTGACGGGAATTTTGTCTTTTCCGATAATATAACGTCTCAGTTTTTGAAAAGTTTTTGAAAATTATGAAATATATAAGCTTTCTCAGCTAGCCCATATGCGATACTCGGCCAAATAAGGGGATTAACTGGAATATTGAAATAATTTTAATTTTGACTGAGCGGTTCGAATGGTGTATTTACACAATTCAATTTTAATCGTAAAAAATATAATGATTGGCTAGCGCTATAAGGGTGGTGATTTGCCAAATTAAATGCAACCTTTGCTTTGAGATGTTTGAAGAAGGTTTGATCAGTCCGAACTAAATTGTTAAGCCATCGTCGTTTAAAACAAAATCTACGTTGTTAAAATGTATAATACATTGTCAATTGTATTTACCGAACGACTCTTGCATAAAGACAAACAGAACATGTGCAAAACATGAAATGTTTCAATGTAATTTTCGTAGTACTTTGACCATACCGCGATCAGCACTATTTATTTATCGACTATAATTTTAATACTTGTGCGAGTGTAGTTTTAATTCGGATTTAAAGTAATGTTGATGTGTGAGATATGACATCTCAGAAAAATTGACATCGGTCTGAACGACTTGGCAAAGATTAAAGATACCCGTACGAATGTGAGAATAATGCTTGTGCGTTCTTCCGTTAGAGTTGTTAATGTGTGTGTCTGTATAGATTACGCTCCGGCTCTGTTTATGACTTGCGATAAATATGAGGTGCGTACTTCAAGTAAGTATACATACAAACAACGGTAGATAAAGAGAATGCTATATATACTACAGGATCTTTCTGTAAGAATACATGTTACATAAAAATCATTGCATGCATAATACTATAATGAGTATAATCTCAGGACACACAGTGAAAATGCTAAGTGAAAGCAGGTCGCGTTAAAATTGACTTTTTGATTTTAAAATTTTATTTCTTACCCAGTCGCCGTAGTTGGAGTCTGAGAAAGAATCCACGCATACTTTATCCTCGACAATGCCGATGACGATTTTCGGAATAACGAATCCGACAACGATGCCGATCACCAGAAACGCAATCCCAAATCCGATGAAAGTGTAGGCCCAGTTTTTCTTCGAACACGCCATTCAGCGGAAAACGATGTATACGTATATAGCTCTTCCCGAGGCTGGATGGCAAAATCTGTTTCAGTATATAAAGCGATGCACTTCCGACCGCTCGTTGCGACTGTCAAAATATCAGTCAACTGTTAAGACTGACGCCACTTGACTGCCAAGGCTTGCTATGTGGCGAGAAAATCTGCCCACCAGATCAAATAGACTTGTTATTTTGTTGCCATGGCTGTTCTTATTGACAGACAGATGAAGAGTTTCATTATCATTTGCGAGAAACCGCAATAATTATATGGTGGAGAAACGGCCCAATTGAGATATTATTATAGAGTTGGCGTGTTTTCCTTTGCCGCTTAGAAAAAAGAGCAAGAGCAGCTAGGGAAAACCGCTTTATTTTTGTAAAAGTTGTCGCTGGTGGAGTCGGATACGGCAATCATACGGCATCTGCTGAACGCGTTGACGTTCTAGAGTTTGCCGTCAATTCTAGTAGGCACTAATAGCGCTCGAAACAGGTGCAAAGCGCGGTATCTTTTTAGGAATTCATTAAAGTAAAATAAATAATATCGTCTCACTGCAAAGATAATAGTTCGTTTTAAAGAACAGTCAGCAGCTTTTTTTCAGGTGCCGGCCCACATAATACAATGAATAATATTTGATTAGTACTGTCCAGCCCTCGGAGGATCATGGGAGTGTCGAAACAGGTGGACTGTAACACTTTTTATAATATAAAATTTATAGTACGCGCGTGCTGATTGATCGAGAAGCATATGCCTATAACTGTATAGAAACACGGGACTTTTCGCGCCGAAATTGATAAGCGATGTAATGTAATGAGAATTTGTAATTGAATCGAATTATAATATTTGTACTGAAATCTTTTCCACTGATTATCTCTCGTTCTCCCAAACTCCCACGCGTACTTGTTTATGTAACTGTATATATATAGAAACACGGAAAATGTTTTCTTTTTTTTAAATATAGAAAACTTGCGTTGCAACCTGCGGTTAGCGAATGAAACTTCAGGATTTGTCCATATTCCTTTTAGGCAGACAGATCGTTCGATGCACTCGAATTAATGGATTAGGCTGATTGCCATAGATGTATCTAGACCAATTAGAAAAGTTAATAAAGATGATATTGCCCAGAAATTGTTGAAAAAGCATAGGTTATCATTCGTAGCCTTAATGAAGATCTTAAAATGAAATAATTTCAGAGCCTTTTTTGTCATAGACCTTTCAGTCATAGACCTTTCAAAGCGGCTATTATCTTGCTTTTAGAGTAGCAATGACAATTAAGTGATCTTTCCTCCTGGTCGGAAGGGTTATTGAAATAGAAATACATTCTGTTATATTTTATTGATTATATCTTTTGTTATTCTTTATCAGGAAACTTGTCGAAATTTTGTGATTATGTTCAGCTATAAAAACTATAGTTCTGGCATAAATTTGCAACCGAAATTAAGTATATTTGAAGAGATATTAAGTTGTTTCAATCGAGAGATGGATAATTTTTATTGGACTAAAAGCTTTAGCTAGTTATCCCCCGCCATTTCAGATCACCTGGTGGTTATAGTTAGGATTTCAATTTTGAGCATATATTCTAAATACAAACCTTAGTTATGGCGGTTGTAAACCTAACTTTCAATAATTATATCCGGGACGATTTTTTTGCAATTACAGATTTCCTAATTTGGCGAGGCCGCTGCGAATCGTCAATGCATTTTAGGGACTTCAAAGAGTTCGAAATTCTGATCGAAACTGATTAAATATTAAAGCTTTTCAAATGAACAAACCACTACATTTTTAGATCAATGGAACAAACTCATTACGATGTATGGCCGATAATTTGTCCCACCTGCCAAAAAAGAAATTAACGCGCGGCTGGCGAGAAAAATACGACTATGATACTCAAGTTAATTGCGGACGCAAGAAAGCTTTTGAAATTTATTCTTACAACAAAGTTTTCTAGACCTAATATTCAGTAAGGTCTCATTTCCAACCCAACTCAGGTTTAACTCATTTCCACTATATCTCAAAACACACGTGCATGCAAGCCAACCGAACAGGCTGATATGAGGCATCTTTAGCAACGAATAACAAGAACGAAAATTAGATTGTAAACCTTACGACTGAGCTTGAAGGAATAATAAATGTATAATAATAGTATTTATATTTCATTATTACATTAGCCAACATCATCCACCGACGTGGATCATCACCGCTATCATCGATTCTGCACCCGGCGATATCAATGTAATGTGAATTTATAAAACAGGAAAAAAATATATATATTGCAGACTTGCAGCGTTGCATGGCTACATTTTATGATACAGCTTTTAAACTCGCATCTGTTTACAAAAGATGCTATATACGTTCCTCGGAAAGATGAAACATGAAACAAAACACACATTTCATACAAACGTACAACAGTTAACAAAATAAAAATTTCCGCCACGTAACTTTAATCGAAAGACTCGAATAAAAACTATATTAGGCTAAGAACTGTATATCTCAAGAGTCATGGAAGACGATAGCCCTTTGTGATGACTTTGAATATCAATGTATGATTATGATTTAATGAATATGATTTAATAATTCGCGTTATTCCGATGCTTATATATGTTTCAGTAAGCCTTATATACCAATTTGTATGTATGCTTTTTATCCTTTACCTTTTATCCTTTACGATAACTTGTTAAATTTAACTTTTAATTTAAAAAAAATGCATCAGTTGATAAAATCTGTCTGAAAAACAGCATATAAAACGCGTAGGACTGATCATTTCATAACTGCTTGAATATTTTGCAAGCTCAGGCTTGCTCGCAGGCAATAATATTTGGATACTCTATCTTTGAAATATCAAATATGTAAAAAATATAAAGTATATAATATGCAGTGTTTTATTGGCGAAGCCGCCATTGTGAAAAGCGATGATAACACAACATGTGCCGAGTGCGATTATTCATAATTCATGATTATGTAGTAAGACATGTTATCGTGGATTTTATCTACCAATCAGGAAGCAGGTATACGCCCCCTGGGGGTAAAAAAATAATTAAATAATATAAACATAAAATTATTCTCAACACTCGTAATAAATTCCATATTTCCGCGGACGTTAAGAATTCAAGCAATTTCATTGGTCGAGAGCCATGATCTATTAGAGGACAGACGCACGGAATGACGTCACAGTCACAGATGATTTTAGCGAATTTGATCAGTCATCTCTTGTTTTATTTTGTCAGCCAATGCTAGCCAATAGCATTACTTCAATCCTATAGTTCATGTTATAGGCGTGATATCTGCAAAATTTTTACTTTGAATTTGGGAATTTTTTCAATTTTATTATATAACCTCGCCCGGCCGGCGGCTTGCGGCACTTTGTTTTGTTCTTATCAAAAATGACGTCATACCGTTTATCTATAAACAAGGGTTCAATGTTATCTATTTGTTAAGTAAACAACATCATGTATATTAATGATATAATCATAGACCATTCAATGATATGGACAAACCATTGTATTGAAAACTTTTTTAGTTTTCTCCTAGGTGCATAGTTTTTTTTAAATTCAAGATAGCATTAGGTGGATATTTTTTTAATTCAAGATAGCATTCAAGACAGTACATAATAATTACAGCTTGAGAACACAGGAATTTTGAATTTTTCAGGTAACCTGAATGCAAGAACTTTAAGAAAATAATTATTAAAAGCTAGAAAGTATGTAATATTTAAAAGGTACATTTAGCAGTTGGAAAAAGATTTTTTTTGGAAAGGCATGAATCAATGTTTTCTCTTTCTTTCTATGAAATTTTTTATTCAAAATAAATCATCTTTAAATTATAAAAAAATAACATAATTTTCAGCTGTAATAATTTTCAAATATTTTTGTTCATCTCTGAAGTGAACTGAAGTTAGTTAAAGCTCAGTCTTGTTCCCTATACAATAAATCATTTTAACGGTTCACTTGAATTCAGTTTATAATGCAGATCAGGAAGGTCTCTCAACTTGGCTGCTGCTTGCTCTGCAGTCAGGTCTCTTTGAGGGGAGGCCAACATCTCATAACCAACCATAAACTTCTTTATGGTAGCAGACCTCAATAGTGGTGGGTAATAATGGGCATGCAGTTGCCAATGTTTACAATCAGCATCGCATGATCCGGTAGGGGCTCCATGCCAGCCCATAGAATAGGGAAAAGCACACTGGAATAAATTATCATATTTTGTTACAAGTTGCTTCATTATGACTGCCAAGGATTCTTGCTCCTGGTTGGTTAAATCAGGCAGCCGTAAGACATGCCTTTTTGGAAGCAGCAAGGTCTCGTAAGGCCACACAGCCCAGTAGGGTACCACAACAAGCCAATGGTCGTTCTCAATGATAATGCGCTCTTTTTTGGCCAGTTCTAGGTTTATGTATTTCAATAGTAGTGGTGAGCCATGTTTTACAAGGTATTCTTTTTGCGCTTTGTCTTCAGCAGATGGTTCATTGGGGAGAAATGAGCTTGCCCAGATTTGGCAGTGAGGATGAGGATTTGAACAGCCCATTATTTCACCTCGATTCTCAAAAATCTAAAGCAAAACAATTATTTTTATGTAATTATCTGATTTTTCACATTACCTAGTTTGTCAGGGTTTGTGCAGAGGTCTGCTAAACAGATATAATGACTATTAAAACTAGTGGCTATGCCCTCGAGCATGAGTAGCTCTGAAAACCCAAGGGGCGGCAGTCCCTATCTTCCAACATTGTTGTGTCCAGCTTTCATACCTGAACCCAGCGATATTTCTTCGACAGCTCAACAAACTCATTTATCCACTCTCCAACAACTTTGACAACATCCTTGGTATCCATAAGAGGCAGTGTCATATCTGACCAGGGATGGAAACACATCACCCGACAGGTACCCCTAGCGGGGGCACTTTGAAACAACCCCCCATCATTATCATCACCACTACACCCTTCATTGCTTTCCCCCTCCTCTAACAGCGCAGGGAAGTCGTTCTTAAAGACATAAACGCCGTCATACTCCGGATTCTTTTCCCCGCTCGCCCGAACGGCCGAAGGAACGAGGGGATTGTTCATATCTCGTCTAGGTACGAGCGTCTCTTGTGGTTTCTCAACCTGCCCTTTCCAGGGGCGTTTTGTGCGGTGGGGTGAAACGACAACCCACTCATCTTTCAAAGGATTAAAGCGAATGTGAGGTTTTTCGTCCATTTTCATAAATAGTTTATAAATCTACAGATTTATATAAAACAAAAAATAAAAGTAACACTAAACTTCCTTTTATAAACTGGATAGAGTCGAGTGACATGTGGTCACATGACACGTTTGAGATCAGTCTCGGAATTGATCGGAATACTTCGGCTATAATTCGAGAAGCCCGCGTCAGGGCGCGAAGATTTAAGAAACACGAGTTCAAAATGGTGTCACAAAATATCGTTTGAATGTTTTTAAAATCCGTTGTATAATGTTGTTTTTAATGTTTTATTTGATCTTCAATCGTTGTAATTCAAATGGACCCTTAGGAGGGTGCATACCAACAGGGAAAGAAGCGACCGTGCTCTTTTGAAAACTGTTATAAAGGAACTTGATACGGTCTCGTGTGTTTTTGCGGCGAAGATCGAGTGATCGACCATCAAACGTGATGGGTATTCCTCGGCTTCTGCCGTTTTTGAAGTCGATCCAGCAACCGATTTGCATCTCAGAGTTAGCAGGGAGTACCATTGGGGTCGATGCTTACTGTTGGTTGCACAAAGGAGCGTATGGTTGTGCTTTAGAACTCGCAGAAGGGAACGACACGGATATGTATGTTATTTTTTGCGTTGGACTAATAATATCTAAGATTTAATTATCTTTGAATAAATATGACTTTAATCTCAACTTCAATAGCATAGGGAGGATGGATTTGATAGATATCCTGCTAGATGTCTCACTATGCATAAAGGTGCAACCAAAAATCCTTTGTAATCCTTAAAAATTATACTGCTACAGTATGTTCATAGATCTTTAAATATTATAGGGTTAATGTTTAATAGGAATCTGATTATAGAGGATCAATTGTAATGTGTAGAACAGCTTTGTTCTTTACAAGATCTGTTCTGAGATAGTCCTACAATTGATCCCTGTAAGAAATTGAATTGGCCAGGTATTCTATAATTCTCCAATACTGATAAAGCAAAACAGAATCAACAGAATATAAAACATCTGTCAAAAATTATTTTAACAAAATTGGCAGACATTTAGGTGTTTATATGGTAAAATGAAATGTAAATTTTACTATTTGTTCAGATGAGCAAACTGGACCCATTTGACCTTGGCCTTGAGCTACATAATAAAACTTTATTTAGCATCTTGCATCCTATGTCCTTGCAAAACTGATTATTTTATTACGACACAAGATACCCAATGTCTTTTTGAACTATTAAAAAGGCTAACCATTTGATTAGTTTTAAAAGTTGTGATCACCACCTTTTGCCCTTGATAGACTTCTTATAATAATGCCTATCCTAACATATTCTAACATATAATGACAATGTGCATGATAAATTCATAATTATTCTTCTTGTATTTTCAAATCTAGGTACGTTAACTATGTTATGAAAAGGGTCAACATGATGCTGTATTATAACTTGAAACCCATTCTAGTTTTTGATGGTGGATATTTGCCTTCAAAAAGCGAGAAAGAGGCTGAACGGCGAAAGTATGACCGTAATTTTATTATGTTTCTTCAGTTTTCAATTGTAATTGTCATTTGTACTGTAATTGTCATTTGTACACTGTTGACTGAGATTGGCTAATCCACATGCAAAGTGTTAAATTGCTGTAAATTAAAGGCCAACAGTTTTAGGCCTGTCAAAAAACCAACAAGATTTGCCTATTTCTCAATATACATAAGCCGAAAAGTCTGTTCCTATTACTCACCCAGATTTCAAACAGAAGAAAGAGCCCAAAATTTAGGGAGAAAGATTTAGTGGGAACAGGCACCTGTAGACACTTGGCCCTAAGACCATTGCGACCCAACAATCAGTTTCTTGATGATATAAGATTGAGAAAGAAAAACTCTGGTAGTGTGCAGGGCCGTAACTAGAACGATAATTGAGGGGGGTGTTTATTCATATATTCAGTTCTGCCCGACGGATTTCCATTGTGAGCTTTTGCACTTACAAAAGAAATCCGCAGGGCAGAACTGAATATATGAATAAACACCCCCCCCCAATTATCGTTCTAGTTTTGGCCCTGGTAGTGTGTCATAAATATAGTATATATAACATCGTACTATATTGCTCAGGCGGACATTTGAATGCTCATATGCTTGTTTGCTTTTCTTTCTTCGTTTTTTTAAGTCTTGAAGGTCTGTTTGCTCTGTTCTTACCTTTTTTGTCTATTTGTTCATTGATTTTCTTGCCTAATGTTTTTCTTATTGTTTCTTTATTTGTTTTACGTCTTGTTGTCTGTTTGTCTTTCGTTTCTCTGTCTTTGCCCCCCCCCCGTCTGCTAGCTTGCTTATTTTCCCGTACGTTGGTTGATTTGTTGTCTTTCTGCTTTGTTTTTTACCACAGTAAACGACAGGACTACAGGTCCCAAGGGATTGCTCACCTCAAAAATGGAAACCGTACGCAGGCTTTTGAATGTTTTCAAAAATCGGTTGATATTACACCAGAGATGGCGCTAAATGTTATTAAAGTATGTCATTTGGAAATACTGCATGTTCTGCATGGGTCTGTTTGCTAAAGCCTGTTGCATGTCCACACTCCATCGCGTTTAAACGTAATAAGATTTTCCCGCCTTCCGGTGTCTGCATCTCTGCATGCATGCTTTCAACGAATACATTTTTACATATACGAATTTAGACCCAATAAGACTCTTAGCTTTAGGAAAGTTTTCTCGGAAAAAGAGGAATTTCGTTTCGAACTAGTCAGTAAATTTGTTTACATTTTTTAGGCCAAACCAATTGTCTATGCACTCCTAAAAAATAAATGCTTTTTGCATTGCTATTAATGTTTAAACGCATTTAGGAAAATTGCCCCATTAATGACGGATATTCGTCATCGTGAGAAAGGCTATTGATTGTATGTCTGTAGTTAGTGAGCTAGCATATGATGCATGGATGAAATTAATGTCATTTTGTCCGCCCGACATGCAGGCTTGCCGCGAGAAAGGTGTGGATTGCATCGTCGCGCCCTACGAAGCAGACGCCCAACTGGCATATCTCACGAAGGCTGGGATCACCCAGTACACGATTAGCGAAGATTCGGATCTACTCGTGTATGGCTGTGAGAAGGTATGCTATAAGTCAATGATATTCGACTATAGAGACATACTTTAGGTATTTCTACTTAGTACTCTTTCTTATTCGCACGAGGCATTCAGAAGTTTTATTTAGCATTTTTTTGCGACTCAGTGCTTGTGTGATACTAAATCCTATTCTGTCGATCTTTCTTGTCAAATTCATCTATGCGTAGGCATTTTAAGGGCTTCAACCCTTCAACCCTAGAGAGGAGTTTTTGTCCAGTTTAATATTGCGGTCTGTGAGGCACGCATAATAGTTATTGTAAATATAATTTAGAGTATATCAGTTCTGCTTATAACATTGGGGGACTCAATGATTTGGAATTTTTTTAATTTCTTTGAAAATAAACTCTCTTATTCAATTAGAAATATTAGTGAACTGAAATGGTGATATCAATCTATAAACAGTGTTTGTGTATAGCGTTTTTTTACATTGACTGTAACCCACGTTTAAAAAGACATTTATTTGCTATTCAAACATCCATTCCCATATTCAAGAATGCCATTCCTCCCCATAAATGCAGGTTATCTTCAAAATGGATGCCAATGGCTCTGGCCTGATCATCGACCTGAAGCAGTTACCAAAACTTAAGGATTTCCGTATGGACGATTTCACGCACCAAAAATTTCGACAAATGTGCATCCTGTCAGGCTGTGATTACCTTCAGTCTGTCAAAGGCGTTGGAATTGCAATGGCTCATAAGTTGGTCAAGAGGCACTCCACTTTGAAAAAGGTATAGTCACTCAATGTAATTTGATTTGCATGCATGATTTTCATTTACACAGCTTTGGACCCTTTGCGCACGCGACGTCATAGTATATATGCATCTGAAGGGCAACTTAACGCGCAGCAACATAAGGATTTTGCAAATAACCCCGGGTGAATATTTGTTACGATAAGAAATATTAACTACTTGGAAAGTTTGCTTCGTAAATTGTCTTTGTTATAACAAAGCCAAAATATTTGTTAGACAAGCGATAAAGGTTTCTATATGCATAGATAAAACCTTTATCCCTTGCCTAACAAATAGTTTTAGTAAGATTAAGAATCATCTGAATACTGAAGGACAGCTCTTAGAATTATGACGTCAGTATGCATGGCGAGCTGACTAATTGCTATAATTATGTAAACTTGAGGCTACTTTAAAGAAAACTTTAACAATACTTGTGCGTCTCATTCACTCACTTCTAGCTCGTTTTTAAAACACAATTTGCGACCGAAATTTGTGAAAATAAAATAACTGCATGTAGCAGCGCAGACAGTCGGAATTAACGTGCGATACATACGTGTACTGACTTGTTTATACTAATATGCGTTAGCTTATCATATCTCACATAGAACATAGCTTTTTGGCGATGTAAGATTACTAAACTTACTTTTTAATGAATCGTGCCTTATTGATAGGTACATTATTTGCCAAAGATGAATTTATGTACATGTAGTATCTTTTATATAGTTAATGAATAAGCTTCATAATTTCAGCTTATCAGCTCGTTACGACTCAACACGAAGATGAGAGTTCCAGCAGATTACGAGGAAAGATTCAAAAAAGCAGAACAAACATTCCTGTATCAAATCGTGTTTGATCCGAAGAGCAACAAACTCGTACCACTCAATCCAGTGCCGGACGATATTGATTCCGGCAATCTATCATTCGCTGGACAGTATCCTCTTGATTGATCGATTGCAAGTTATTTATTTTGTTTTTTGAGGCTCATTGGCTAGTGCAAACAAAATAGTTCTGTTATTGTTAAGGCCGGTTCACGCTGATATTTTTCAGTGTTATTCTGTTGCAGGGGCATTGCAAGGCGATGAAAGATTTACTTTATCTTATTTTGAAAAGACATTCGGAATATAACAAAATCGTTGTAGAGCTTTGTGTTATGATAAGTCGATGTTCTTTCAATTTTTGTTGCTATGTCAATAAAGACAATGGTCTGGGAACACGGTTAGATATTGTCTCGATTGTTCGAAACTTTTCACAGCGAGGACAACGACTTTTTACGTAACGACCAGGGCATTGCCATTTTATTGTTTATTTCGTTTTCCATGTAAAATAGGGCCTGACGGTTTGTCGACTCCAAAGACGTTAGACTATTTTTAGCGGCATTCAATTTTTTTTTCTCCTTAATTTCACAACTCTCGTGATACAGCAGTTTGAAATGGAAGCAGGAACAGGCTTTGGACCTCGCTCTCGGTAACCTCAACCCCCTCACCGGGGAAAGAATGGAAAGTTCTACGTTAACAGCGGTACGTAAAGACCTTGTTTACGGCACTTGAAATTTTTGCTCCGATTTTAGGCGCTCGTTTCTCCCTTGGTATGATGCAAGCGAGCGAATGATCATGAATCCCTCTGATGTATAAACACCTTTGTATGGTCAACGATTATTTATTCGCTCAATTACATCTATCAAAATAATTTAGCCTGAAAAGAGTTTAGCCTGGAAATGACGTATTCAATGAAACTGATTGACACAGTCATTCTCGTAGTAAAAACCGTTTCATTTTTTCCATCAACACAGCCAATGTCGTTTAATGACAATGAAGAAAATCATAGAAAAGAAACTAAATCTTCCAAATCTATAATCTGTCCCCAAGTAAAGAAAACGCATTCCAGTTCTTCCGTGAAGAAAACGAAGTACGACGCCGAGAAGAATGTGAGTGGAGCTATCCGTAAAACGAAATCCTCAGAAAAAGCAAATAGTCAGTTCGTGACTCCAGTGCGATGCAAGAGGACACGAGGTCAGTTGGTATTCGAGTTCAGTTCAGTTATATTGAGTGTTTGCTTGCCAAACGTAATCTGTGAAATTGCCGAGTTTGGAGTTCAACAATGAATGATTTTCCGGCGTCAGCGTTCAATATAGACCTTATGCATAATGACGTAACAAGCCGTGAAACCTGCGGCGAAATACCCCCCCCCCCCCCATGATGACCACTAAAGCTAGAATTCCCTGCAGGCGTAAATGACAGTTTGATTCGTCATTATGCATAAGGTCTTTTAGAAGCACTTCTGATTTCAGGTCTCAGGTAGTGAACTGTATAATGACTGGACTAATCTTATCTGGTCGCCAACTTTGAGGCCGAATTGGGCACCAGTGCCAGTCTCCCTCTATCGTCTTCGCCGGTACGTTCGTCGACCGTGAACACAAAAACTATAGAAGGTGACTGGCACTGGTGCCCAATTCGGCTTCAAAGATGGCGATCAAGTTATCGTTCCAGTTCACATAGAGTTCACTGGCATGAGCGCAAAAACTTTAAAGGTTCCGATTTTGGTGGGTTTACTGTAGTTCTCTACATCGTATACCATCGCTTTGCATAAACAAAAACCTTTTCAACTTCCTGCAGAAACGGATGAACAACAAGAGCAAAGGTCAAAACTGGCAAGATTGTATTCAACAATCATGGACGACGTGACGGTGGATGTCAACTTCGAAGCAACCGAGTCAAGATCAGAAGTCGCTCCAAAGATCCGAATTCAACAACCACAACTCAAGATAAAGCGTAATAATCCATTCAGAAGTCCAGTGGTCCGGAAGTCAGAAGCGCGGACCGAACAAGTTGTGAGCCGGTATTTATTAATTAATGATCTCTGTATCATATCTGGAGTGAAAACTTATTAGGTTTATTTTATGAGGAGCAATACATGCTGTGAACTGAAATTCCCGTGTTTCACGTGGGAAGTCTCGTATCACCTGCTTACTTCTGTGTAACATAACCCAAAAATCAAAATAACCCAACATTTAAGGTTGACCCAACATTTTAGCATGTTGGAGGAAATCTTGCTCTAATACACATCTTTAGCGGACCGACGTTGTCGTTTGAGGGTCAATTTACCCCTCAAATTCGGCCCTGGCTAAATTTGTTATTTCATGTCCACTAAATGTTCCGTCCCATGCATGTATATATCAGCGGCTGCATTATGTCCGACAAAATTATTTTATCACGCAGTTAATATAGTCATACATGTGTTGCATATTATAGGTTCTTTGGTCTGGCTGGGATGGAAGTGGCGGCAAATGAACAGTATTTGGGCTTGCTCGAAAATGCTGCTGACGACGATGCTCTCACTAACTCTCAAGATGATTTATCCGAAAATAAAATGATAATTACAAATTCCCAAGGTTCGTCGTCTTCACATGAGGACGACGGCCAATTTCAAGAATCCGGTTATCAAACGAGTAGCGAAACGAATACGCCTACCGAAAACGATGCGGATCTCCCCCTGACGTCTGTCACCCCACCTTTTCCAACCTTCAGTACGCCCCTCTCAGGCAAAGCCCCCACAGACTCTCCACCCCTACCCACGTTTCCAACAACGCCCACGAGCAGTCTTGATGATAAAACAAAGAAATTTGTGAGTGGAGGAAAAAGATCAGGTTTATGTACTCAAGTGACACTGGACTTATTCGCTTTTAAGAAAGACAGAACTTTCAAAACTGAAGGCAGTCAAATAACGACGGGCAAAATTTCCCCGACACGGACGATCCTGGCCGACCGCTCGTCACCAAATTTCAAAACGAGAAGGAAGTTTAATGAAACTCTGGTAAACGAAGTGGACGATGACGATGAGAATGTCAAGGAAAATAATGGAAACACTTCGAAAAACACTGAATATAAAGTGGAAATAAAGCAAGATAAATTAAAGGTATATTTCGGAACGATATTTTTTGTTGTTGGTGTATTAGCCCGATAAGATGTCTTAATTTAGAGGTTGTTAAATAGTTAGAGTCACAACAAGTATTACGGCTCGTGTTCTTTTGTTTGGTAGCTAATTAATGGCCGCTTATCGAGTGATCGATGAAAGCCTTTGCATTACAATGCATTAGCTAATATTTTTTTTTAGCATATTTTTGTTTACCTCCTCCTGAACTCACCCAAAGAGCATATTTTCCTTTAATATTTACCATGAATCTCCGTTAAGCTTATTGATGCATTTTTTGCAACTATCCAGTCTGGCCCAGGGTTGGGTCGACCAAATGTCCGCATGAATTTTCATTATATCTGAAAATATCTTCCAACCACCAGCATTTTTAAATTTAAAAATTTTTTTTTTTGGTTTATTTTTAAAGAGTCGAGACACGTCGATGGCGATAAAGCAACCAAGACTGCTCGGTAGGTAAAACTTATCTTGTCGTTCGCATTTAAAAGTAGACGGTAAATTTGGAGAAGAAGAAGAAGAAATGCTTCTTCCATACCGCCTATCATCAGTTATTACATTTGTTAAAAGGCGAGGTAAGTGTGGTAGACCCCTGCCTGTCATCTATGCTTACAAAAAAAAACTTGCTTATCTATAATTTAGAAAAGCAATCGTTCAGGCCTAATCCAGTATTTTATACACTTATAAAACTTATAAGTGCTATTGCTGATGTCGGCCTAATTTCTAATTAAACGCCCGTATAACATAGCTAATATATTAACTATGTTATACACATAAAGTTTTGTAAGAGAAAATTTTGTGAAGTCTAAACGGCGCTTTCCGTTCAACTGGCTTCAATTTGAGCATTTAATTTTTGGGACAAACACTTAGTGATAAACAATAGTAAAGTTTTACCTCTAAGTGTTATCGCGAAAATTTAACTGGCGAAATTCAGCTGAATTGGATAGCGATATTCGGCTGAAAAAATTAGCTAAAAGAGTAGAAACGAAAAAACAGAACATGCGCTCTTTTGCGAGCTAAAATCAGTTCATTTTCCTTTGAATAAAAAAAAAACGTTGCCTGGTTTAATAAAATCGGAAATGAAAAGGTAAGAATTAATGAGGCTATGTAAGTCTACTCGTTCATAACCATCTAAACATAACTGATTTGACATCACTTGACATCATCTGTACATCTCAGAGCGGTCGCTCTAAGGCTACCCTGACGTGATGTGTTGAGCTATATTCCAAGCACGCAGGTTGTTGTGTAAACATAGCTAACGCATAATAATATATTGTGTGTACATTATGTTGTGTGTACATTCCTGCCATAGGCATAGTTGCAGTTTGAGCAATGGAATTGGATCAGTTCATTTGCAAACTTCCTGCATTCATTCGATCAATTTCTTGAGAATTTTGAAATTAAAGTTCGTTTAGAAATGTTCATATCTTCTGCGCTTTTTAAACAATTCTAATTTTTTAATTCTTGCGGAAACAGGAATTGAGCAAATGGATGATAGATTCTTCTGTCGTAAGTAGTATCAAGAATCTGTCCCAATCCTGTCTTCAGCGAACCAGGAACATTTGTGTGCATATTGTCATAGAATAAATATTTTTTCGTCTTTTAATTTTATTATTAATTTTATTTAAAATAGAGTGCTTGCATCCTGTGTGAATATTCCTTATAACTATATAGATCAGTTTACATGCAGTGTGTCACAAAAAAACAAGCTTATCAATGTTCAACTTAAATGCATATGACTTTAGTGCATATGACTCACATGTGTGAATTAATAGTGTGATGTTGCTACTCTGAGAATTAGCTTGACCACGTCGGTCAACCATTACCGGTTGGTAACTCGGGGTATCACCATCACATTAGTATTAATTCTAATGTTTTCTCCTGTCTTTCCAGGGCTACGAAGCAAGCCATCGACGGGACTAGGCCGATGTCGTGGTGTTGGGCTTAGTCATCCACGAAAGAACATCAAAGATTCCAAAAACAAAACTAATCCGATTTCAGTACCGATATTGAGTTATTTCAAATATCAAGCTCGTGACAAAATATCACAAGGAACTACATCTTAAGTGTCGTGAAAAGATGATTTAAATCATAAAATTAAAAAAAGTTAAAATTAAAAACTTCCGTGGTCAAATTGACCAAATTGACATAAACTATTCAAAGCGGTTCCCCCGGCCAATGCAGAAGTACTCTCAAATTTTTACCTTTTTTTCTGCCGTGTTTGAATGCTTTTTTTTTCTGGTTTGATAAATGCAACAATCTAGAAAACAGGGTGTATCTTTTATTGCATCTTCTATGGTTTTACAATCATTATTATATAGAGAGTAGTTTCATATATTTGTCGAATTAAAATAACAATTAAGACTTTGCAGTTGTGTTATTAAGATAATAGTGAGCTTAAGCAAGTGACGTTTTTGACAACACGTACGTTTACCGGAAGTAAAGTTTTTGTTTTTCACCAATCACAATCCTTGACCCAGTTTTTTCACGTTACTCATGCCGTTTGTGTTGTCAAAAACGTCGCTTGCTTAAGCTCACTAATGATGAAGTAATTACGATGTTTTAGAGCTTTAGCATTGCTAATGACTATAGGATTGCGACTGTTCAAAACTCGTCATTTTTGACTCAAGCATACTCCGTAGGAGTATCAGGGAGTCATTGCTAACGGTCTCGCATTCTTTAGTGCCATTAACTCGACCAACCTGCTTTGTGCGCTTAGTATTAAAAACTTGTTTATCTGATTAGTCTAGTCTAGTATTAAAAACTTGTTTATCTGGTTAGTCCACTAGCCAACAGTTAATCGGCTATTCGTGCATCCGTGAGTCGTCTCATTTAGACCTTTGATTGCTGTTGTATATGTTGCAACAATTTTCATTTATAGAACACGTGGGATTTACTGTTGTTCACTTTTTCTCAGTTTATAATGGTCATCCGGGGTTTCTCTCAATTTCTCTGCGGCCGCTTCTGCGGTGAGGTCTCTTTGTCTCGAGGCCAACATTTCGTAACCTCCCATAAACTTCTTTACGGTAGCAGACTTCAGTAGTGGTGGGTAATAATGGGCATGCAGTTGCCAATGGTTGCAATCAGCGTCGCATGATCCGGTAGGGGCTCCATGCCAGCCGAAAGAGTAGGGAAATACGCATTCGAATAGATTATCGTATTTTGTTACAAGTTGTTTCATTATGACTGCCAAGGATTCTTGCTCTTGATCGGTTAAATCAGACAGTCGCAGGACATGCCTTTTTGGAAGCAGCAAGGTCTCATAAGGCCACACAGCCCAGTAGGGTACCACAACAAGCCAATGGTCGTTCTCAATGATGATGCGTTCTTTTTTGGACAGTTCGAGTTCTATGTATCGCGACAGCATCGGTGTTCCGTGTTTCGAAAGGTATTCTTTCTGAGCTTTGTCTTCAACTGATGGTTCCTTGGGAAGAAATGAGCTGGCCCAGATTTGACAGTGCGGGTGAGGATTTGAACAGCCCATCATTTCACCTCGATTTTCAAAGATCTAAAACACAAACACTTCTAATCGTGAACCCGAGAAGACTGCTTGAAAAATTGTTGAGAGATTGAACAAAATTAGTAGGAAAATACGCGCAACATTTTGATCAGTGGAAAATGCCTTATTATGGCGCAGTTTCTCATTACGCCGACTTTTTCGATCGAGCGAAATTTTTCGTTTAATTTTCCTTTTCAATTGTGTCACCGATTAAAGCTTGGTGTCCATATGACGCCGACTTGCATCAGCAAAGTATTATTGTCGGTGATTATTGATGAGTGAAATCTTTTGTCTTTCTGAAATCATTCTTCCCTTGGATGATAACAAGCTTAAGGAATCCGCTACGGATACCTATATATGATATTTGTACCTGAACCCAGCGATATTTCTTCGACAGCTCGGCAAACTGAGATATCCACTCTTTGACCACTTTGACAACTTCCTCGGTTTCCATGAGAGGCAACGTCATATCTGACCGGGGATGGAAACACATCACCCGGCAGGTACCCCTAGCGGGGGCACTTTGAAACAACCCCCCATCACCATCATTATCATCACCACCACCATCATTATCATCACCACCACACCCTTCATTGCTCTGCCCCTCCTCTAACAGCGCGGGGAAGTCGTTGTTAAAGACATAAACGCCGTCATACTCTGGATTCTTTTCCCCGTTTACTCGTACGGCCGAAGGAACAAGCTCGTTTTTCATATCTCGTCTGGGAACAAGCTTCTCCTGTCGTTTTTCAACCTGGCCTTTCCAGGGGCGCCTTGCGCGGTGGGGCGAAACGACAACCCACTCATCTTTCAAAGGGTCAAAACGAATGTGTGGTTTTTCATCCATTTGATATGTAAAACTGATAAATTTTGAAAAAAATCACATAAGTTCATAAATTATACGACATGTAACTGATGAAAATATTTTGCTGCGATTCCCGGGGGTGTTGTACGATCTTTGAAAAGGGGGGGTCATGAATGCATGCTTAATCACAACAACTATAACTTTTACTGGAAAAATGATTGGAAAATCTTTGTTTACAGTTCTGTACTGTATCTATGAAACCATACGTTTAGGCTCTAGTAAAATACATTTTGACTATTATACATGCAGGTAGTGCATCTGTATATAAAAACTACTGCAGTATGAATTTATATTTTTATCCATTAATATTATGTTTCGAATGTTGGGCTATAAGCATGCATAAGATATGACTAATTTAGATTTTAAAACTCTACTTATAATTTCTGCTATATCCATGCACACGACACATTTTTACAGTGTGTGTGAAAATGGCTGATCGCTGCGTTTGAAATATGCTATCGTGATTTGCGTATATAAGCTAGTGCTGTGTGAAATTAGACTGGTCTTCGACAGGCACCATAATCATAGAGCCTGCATTGTTTCCAATTTATGGTATTTAGTTTACACGTTGCGTTTTGGTCGTGTCGGATGCACAATGTCCAATTAATGCACTGTTATGCTATGACCTATGTATATACGCATCTGAGACAATATACTATACTCGATAGATAATGGGCAAATAATGAAGAATACTTTGGTCGCTATATTTCATCTATTGTTATTGATATATGATAGTGTATAATTATGATTATTTTTACTGCACATGGTGTCTGCAAAAAAATCTAAAAAATTTCAAATCTAAATCGCAAAGCTATTTTGTTCACGCGCGAATTTCAGTTTTTTGAAGCAAATAAATTGAATTCTGGAAGGAAATTTTGATATGCTATCCTTCAATATACCATGCATGGATAATATTAGATCAAACTATAGTTGCTTTTGGCAACTCAAAAGTTCATGAAAATCGCATCGCGTCGGCGGATCGGGGCCCTGGTGGGTGCCTTAGAAAAACGCTATAAACAAAACGTCTGCGTATATTGTACAAAACAATTCAAATAAATACGCTATATATATTGAAGATTTGGATTTTCTTTATTTCGCAGACTTTCGTACACTCACATGCGTTTGTTCAAAGCTACGATCTTAATTTGATTCATGTACGAGTAAAATGCAACTGCAAGTAAAAAATTTTTGAGTTTCAATTCTTATAACCTATAGATTTATTCCAAGATGTTAAGCCTCGATCGTTTAGATGCATGCGCAGTGCCAATTCTTCAGAACTAGCTTATAAATTAAACGTATATATATATGTGTGAAAAAAGTCGCCGCTCCTGTAGGGTAGTTATACCCTGCAATCTGGCATTTTCGGTTATGACAGTCACATTATATCTATATTAATCCCCCTTGACTATCCGTCTTCATATATGACATATATACGAAACAGGCAAACCCTTGCCCATTGCAAGATTTTGTTAGTCTCCTGGTTGTGGAGAGACCCAATTGTTTGACAATTGCGAATTCGTAACGAATAACAGAGCATGACGATGCATGTATAGACGTGCCCGATAAGGTTATAACTGAAGCCGGCGAATTTCCTAATTCACATAAAACTTATGCCATGAATGTTTAATACATCAGAAGATACGATACAAATACTTAGGTAAAAGTCTTTCTCATCGCCGCTTTTCCTTATTTCAGCGCGATAAGTATAACTCCCTTTTAAATATTTTAAATTGCGTACGTCCTAAATTACGCCTGGAATCATGTGGATAGAAAAATGAATCACAGATAAAGTATTTTAGAAAACTTACGTCGATCACTCGCAGACAAAATTACACAGAATCACAATTTGTTTGACAAGTTCTGTAACGGCTAGCTGTATGACTTTTACTTTCTGATTTCGCACCCGCTGCTTATAACAATTTGCATGATCTAAATTCTTTGAAAAGTTTTGCAATTCCGTAAATCGTATATAAATTTCAAATTCATATATGCATGCATGACGATTAATTATACATGCACTCACAACTTTCCATCGCTCGTAGTTTTTGCCAGCTTTCTAGGCCTTTTTTCGTCGTCTTTATATAGTTGGCTTCATGGTATATGTTTCTTGACCTTTCTGCATGTCGTTTATAGATATATTATTGCAAAAGTTTCAAAGACATAATATAGGAAAGCTATATAGCCATAGTTTTAAATTCTTTAGTGTTGTAGTGTCAAACTCTGCGTGGAATTTTATGTATAGGACATGCAAAACAAGGTCATGAAAGGCTCGCCAAATTTAAAGTCTAAAGGCCGGCCTCCACTTGCATGTACTGTCAGTGCGGCCAATTTGGCGCATGCTCGGTGACTCGGAACTGGTCGCTAAGCCGGCCGTTGCGGCTATTTTTTTGTACGTAGACAGTAGAACTGTAATATAAATAAATAGTCTATACCTTCAAGGCGGCCGTCGACGCGCAAGCCGTACGTGCGATTTGGGGACGTACGTACGTGCAAATGAAAGCCGGCCTTATATAAGTATGAAGAATTGCGGCTACGTCTATATAAATGAAACTATAGTTTCGTTCCGCGGTGCTCTATATTTTTTAAATGTTTACGTTATTTCATTTAAGTAAATAAACGGGATTAACTTGCTAAAGGTCCCGCGTGAAGATTCATGGTAAAACAATTTTTTTCCGCTTGTCATGCACCTACATATGGATATTTTTAAGATCTCTTTAGAAATCCCCTTTATGTATAATATTTATTCTTTCTGAAAACCATGTAGTCGTGGTCTAGTTGAGTTTTTTCATCAGGTGTTACGGGGAACGTAACGCTATTGGTGGTTGCTGCCTTCTTGAGTCTGTTCGACAAATTATGCGATAAAATAGGTGCTTAAAAGCTTCTCTGTAAAATTTGTCGAGCCAAGCCTAAATTATTGTATTCCATGCATAGATTGTTAACGAGTGGTAATGTGCGTGATATCATGTTTAATGTGTGGACACGGTACATGACGCTTGTTGAATGGCTTTCCCAGTCCATAACAGAAGAAAAGCCATAGCAATGTCTCAATAAACCAAGGAACCCAGAAAAATATAAAAACTCCAACGATAACCAACAGCATTTTAACGACTTTCATATTTCGACGTAATGCAGTTCGTTGACGCAATAGTTTGTTCGGATCGATTTTTTCACCCGGTGTGCCATTCGCGAGCATTTTGTTTCGCACCATTCACGTTAATGATATGACTGTGAGAAAAAAATATGAAGTGTAAATTCTTTTGCACGAGTTGTGGAGACATTTATAAAAAACATAAAAGCATAGGGGATCTAAAGCTGCAAGCTAATTTCCCCTCCAGTCTTCACGCGGCACTTATACACGCATGTCGATCGGTCCGATACTAAGATTTTTTATCGGCCGTCTATGATGATGATTTCCTGATACTGCCGTCAAAATACAAAACAGGGGAACTACAAGTTTATTTCCCCTTGCGTGTGTTTCCTTCGGCACTATATAAAAAAGCTTGTACTTGAGAATACTTGTGCATGAATGCTCAAAATATCGCCAACAAGGAATCTGGTTTGACGATATACTGGTAGAAATTATATACTGATATTTTACTGGAGGTTAAGCGATAATGAAGGTCTATGCGTTGGCTTTGGTGATCTTTTTTCTCTGCACTACGGTGAGTTCTGTATTTGCTTATCAAACGCTGATTATTTTAGAAATAGAAGATATCAGAAATTCTTTATACGAACTCGATATAATTACTGTATTCTACCTTTTATTTAGACTTTCGTCACGGCAAAGCCCTTTTTCCCTGGTAAGTTTCTCTCTCACTCTAATTATTTACGAGGGAAATACCTTCACATCAAGTCATTCACATGCAAAAATGGATGTCATTCATATATTTTTCGTTCCATTTCAAGCAACAAAAAACACATGCTCAATTCATGCATGCAAGTGAAACATGTAGCTATACAATTTTCTTGGTTTTATATATGCCTTATATACGGAATAGCAATGTCGTATTGCACTATATAGCTTTACTAAACATTTTCTTGGTTTTATATATGCCTTATATACGGAATAGCAATGTCGTATTGCACTATATAGCTTTACTAAACAAACTGGTTGCCTGTTTGATAGACTGATATAAGATGCATGAAACAATCGACTGCAAATTAACTTAAACAAAACTTCATCTCATTAGGATGCATGAAGACGTAAAAAGTTCGACGTCTCATCAAACAGGCGTGTATAAGCTAAGCCGACCTATACTTTTCACCGCTACGGCGATTGATCGCGATTCGACTTTTTATGGTTATACAGGGTGTCCCAAAAAAAAAGCAACCACTTAAATATGCAGAACATTAATACAGCTCTAAAGCGCAATAGATAAGCACCTCTGGGAATTGAAAATGGCTCTTAATCCTTCATTTACAATGCTAAAAGTCATTTTAGCTGAACTATGGTGCAAACCCGAACAATATTAATATTCTTGCATATTTAAGTGGCTGCGTTTTTTTTGGGACACCCTGTATACAGGGTGAGTAAAAAAAACTGACACCTTTGAAATTCAAATTAGATACAGGGTGAGTAAAAAAAACTGACACCTTTGAAATTCAAATTAGCTGCGAACTTATGGCTGGAATATGACAATTCCCATGTGCAATCAACAAAAACGATTTGATAAAACTGTTCTTTTGTATTTAACTCCCAAAGGGAACAAACTTTATGTTTTAGGTTAATTATATGATATCCTTCGTATACCTATGAAATATTTTAAGCAACTTCTGTCACGTTACAGCCGCTATGCGACTAATTTGAATTTCAAAGGTGTCAGTTTTTTTTTACTCACCCTTTATAGTTGTTAAGCGTTAAAATAACCATGATATACTTTTCTACCAAGGGCTTGGCTGCAACCCAATCTGCCCCGCAATAGGTTCCCCAGTTTGTGGAACAGATGGGGAAGAGTACGGCAACAAATGTTTATTAGCTTATGCCAGTTGTGTCTCTGGTGGAATAATTCAAGAGGCCAGACCAGAGTCATGCGGATTAGGCGGTAAGCTATGTGTAGATGTAATTGATTTAATATATATGTGTTTTAAGTTTATTCTTTCTAAACCTACAAATTCCTTCCTAATTTCCTACTTTCTCTTATTAGGAATAGGATCTCCGTTGTTATGGCTTTCGCGATGATAATATCTCATATCTGCATGATTATGTAATTCTTTAGCGATGATTTAATAAAAAATAGCGTGAATCATGCGTGTGCCTATATAACTTGCATGTGTCTTTGACAACATCTGCGTCATGCACGACGCATGCTTGCAACGCTTCTTATCCTGCTTCTTATAAACTAGAATCAAAAAGAAAGTTTGTTTCGTTATTCTGTCATGTGTAATGTCGCATTAATGAAATACTAAATGGTTTTCTATGCAGGATAGCGTGTCCCACGCGCGAGGGATGTTGCGAGACGTGCCGGGAAAGCGGGAAAATTAACCAATCATATTGCGTCATCTGTGGTATAACAACTGCCTAAGATAGACAAATTCTTCTCGACGTTTCAACCTGAGGGCCTTCTTCAGGAGAGTTGGTATGATATTGCGTGTTTTACTTTAGTTATCATATAAAACGTTACCGCATACGCTGCCTGCGGTCATGTCGGAAACCCTCGATCTATATTAGGTCTATAAGCCTTAACTAATAAGCAATTCACGCATGCTTTTTGAAGTACCGGGGGAAATTACTGTCAAACATTGTATGTCAGTGCATTAATTGTACTTATCTTGCCAAGATTTGCATCGCGTTTGCTGGTCTATACGATCCGAAACCGGCTAAAATAGCGTCGGGCGGAACAAAAATATGAATATGATTAACACCCCCCCCCCGATCATCGCTGTTCCGATTTATACGAAAAATAACAAATTAATTAATGCGCTTGCAATGCACGTTTTTACGATGACCATGCATGATGATGTACAGACGTGCATAACGTTATTATAAGCAAAGTTTTCAGTTCATAACTGTCTTTATAATTATCTTCTTAATACTGCCCATTGCACTTGCGGTGCCTTGCAGTACAACCATGTTACAAGGCACTCCCTTTTTAATTTCACGTCAGAATATGTCAAGATATATACAGAAACAAGACGCCAACTCGGCTTTAACCTCAACAAATCGGGTACTGTATATTTTATAAATGAGACCGGAGGTTTGTAGAATAGACACTCAGATCGCCTAAAATGACTTTCGGTCGCCAAGGAAACAGAGCAATTCAATATTCACTTCGGCAATCAACATAATTTTGTAGATTGACTTTTTTCCACATCCGCGCGTTACGAATCAGTAGGATGCGACGTCAGCGCTGACCCGATGATGCTTCAGTAACGTAACCGAATGTCACGTGGGGAAAGCCCGACACGACAAACCAAGCCAAAATTATGACCTCTTGTCCATCGACCCGAGGTAATAAATCAACTTTGCCAATCAATTTTAATGATGATGCAAATAAATTTCAGCCGTTCTATATACACGATGATTTCTCGCTTTTTATATATATTTGTTGAAACCACAAATTAATTTATATAAGAGGAACTAAACGCCTGATCTTTAATTTCCTCTCTATACATGCACTTGTCGGTATGACACCTTTGATAATGACTTCCTGTTTACTTGTCAAAGAACGAAAGTCTAACAGGAGAACTAACGTGTTCATTGTTCAAGCTCATTTCCCCCAACATATGCGCATGTCTATTCCGACACTGTATAAAATAGCGTGGAATTTAGAATGCTCGCAAATATTCAAGACACCGCGCCACCAAGTGATCTGGGTTTTGGCGTTATATAATACTGCATGGTATAGAAACTTTATCGTCTTGCTGGAGAAAAACGAGAATGAAGATCTATGCATTTGCGTTGGTAATCTGCTTTCTTTACTCGACGGTGAGTGTTTTGTTTATCAAACGCTGATTTCTTTCTTAAAGATATCCGTGGTGGTTTAGACGGCGCGAACTCGTTTTTATTTTATTTCCAACTTTGCATTTAGACTTTCATCACGGCGAAACCTTTCATCGGTGGTATAAATCCTTGTAAGGGCAAACTCCTATTGTAGTACACTAGTTTTATATGACACTATAAAACTAGTGATCTTTTTCTCGTCGATTTCTTGAGGTTCGACTGTTTTGAATAACCTAAGGTATACTTTTTCTACCACTTAAGACGTAGTCTGTCGCTTAAACCATTGTGACTTCTCGCACCGGCCAGTTTGTGGATCAAATGGGCAAATGTATGTCAACAAATGTGAATTAGATTATGCCTCGTGTAAATCTGGTGGAAGGATTTCGTGGGATATTTCTGGGCGTTCTTGCGGTATGTGTCCATGATTTATGATGAATGACGTCAACTACACATTACACATTTCAACTTTTGCCGTTTCTATACACTACCACGTTTCTTCCTGATTTTCTATTATTTTCCAATCTAGGAATACAATTTCCGTGAGGTTGGTTGATGGATTTGGTTCACGAGCGACTGAAAATGTCTGATTGTACATATATGCATGCATAAATGCTTTTCTTAAACAATGATTTAATAAACCGGAATATTCGACCCCAATGTTTGTAAATTGTTTGTTTTAGTCGCCAAGCCGGCCGTTGCAGCTAATTTTTTGTACAGTAGAACTAGTATAGTCTAGTAGAACTGTAGTCTATAATTTCAAGGCGGCCGTCAACGCGCAAGCCGTAATTTCGAGCAATTTCGGTGCGTACGTATTTTTTTTTTACTAAGCAATGTTAACAATTTATTATTAGTACTATAGGGAAATTTACAATAATTGATCATGCATTAAAACTAAGTATATAATAGTTCTACAGAGTATTTACAAAAACAACTTAACTAGACTCGCTAATGTTCGAGTACCATTCAGACAAAGTGATGTCATTAAGTGATGTGATGGACACGGTCCTCCAACTTCGACTGCCACGAACACACACTACGTGAGCTCTAAGCAAAGCAAAGGCGATCTTTCGTCGTAACCAGCTAACCACCATAGATGGAGAATGATGGTGAATCATTTCGGGGCGTATACGTACGTGCAAATGGAAACCTTATATATATACCTAAGTATGAAGAATTGCGGCTACGTCTATATAAATTAAACTAGTTTCGTTCCGCGGTGCTCTATTTTTTAAATGTTTACGTTATTTCATTTAAGTAAATAAACGGGATTAACTTGCTAAAGGTCCCGCGTGAAGATTCATGGTAAAACAATTTTTTTCCGCTTGTCATGCACCCACATATGGATGTTTCTAAATTTTAAGATCTCTTTTGAAATCCCCTTTATATGATATTTATCCCTTCTGAAAACTGTAGTCGTGGTCTAGTTAAGTTTTTTCATCAGGTGTTACGGGGAACGTAACGCTATTGGTGCATGGCGGGTCTGTTCTTGAGTCTTCGACAAATTATGCAATAAAGCACGTGCTTAAAAGCTTCTCTGTAAGATTTGTCGAGCCAAGCGTAAATTATTGGATTGCATAGACTGTTAACGAGTGGTAATGTGCGTGATATCATGTTTAATGTGTGGACACGGTACATGACGCTTGTTGAATCGCTTCTCCAATTAATAACAGAAGAAAAAAGCCATAGCAATGACTTAATAAACAAAGGAGCCCAGCAAAATATAAAAACTCCAACGATAACCAACAGCATTTTAACGACTTTCATATCTTGACGTAATGCAGTTCGTTGACGTAATATACTTCGTTTGTTCTGATCGATTTTTTCACCCAGTGTGCCATTCGCGAGCATTTTGTTTCGTTTATGAGAAATTCGAAAAATAAAAGCGTACATAATAAGGATGATTAGTGCGGGTAGAAAAAAGGCACTTATTGATAAAAAAAGGAAAAATATTTTGACTTTATTCAAGTCAGAGCTATAAGTGCACTGACCCTGGGCGGTGTCTAACATTCCGTAGGTCCCTGAATGTGGAGTGGCGGAGTAAGTGGCAAAAGAAATTGAAATGAGAACCATCACGGAAATTGTTTTTAGCATAATGGAAGTGGTCATCCGATATTTGTACTGAAGTGGTTTGCTGATTTTAAGATATCGGTCAATACTAATGATTGTCAACGAATAAATAGATGTTGTTAACGCAAATACGTCTATCCAGGCCATAAAGCGACATAGATGAATTGGCATTGTTTCTCGCGAATTTTTGTTCAAGTGTAATTGGTAAACAATCAATGGCTCTACAAATAAACCAACCAAAAGATCAGCGACAGCCAGACAAGCGATGAAATATTTATTTGGTTGATGAAGACTTCTTTCTCTCCATGTTGCAAGTAAAATGAGAGCATTTCCCAGAATCGTAATGACGGCGAAGAAAATTATTAGAATTATCTGACATAGGCGTAATCTCTCTTCAAATGCTTCTACTTTCAACCAATGACTATTTTGCCTCCAAGTCCCAGTCCATGTCCAAGTCCCAGTCCATGTCTGAGATGTCTCTATTATATGTGTAGGAACAGCTGTGACGGTGAAATTGTTTGACGACGTCATTGCAAATTTAGGACCTGCAAATAATTGAAATGCCTTTACTTTATAATGTATACAATATACTGAGTTTCATCTAAGGCAAAGATGCAAATTTGGAATTTGTAGACGATCGGCAGCATCTTTGATGGTCGGCATTTTAGACCAGTTTTCTCTCAGCCAAATTTTTAACGCTTTATTACTCGGGCTACTGTGGTAGCCGAGTCTAAGTTTCGCGATTATTATTTTTTTTTCGTGTCGTAGGCTTAGTCTTCCGCGCGGACAGTCGCGTATTTACAGTGTATCAATATAGATCAGTTTCAGTACAGTGCATTTACCGGCTATATAGGCCGAGTTAACGCCTTACCGGGCGTCCTGTTAATTGTGTGATTCTGATGTTATTTTTGAGTTCTTAAGATTTGAGTTATTATAAACACACAAGACGCAGAATTCTTGTGATATCTCGACATTATTCCAAAGTCATTGTCAAACCAATTACGTGCTCAGATCATTTATCAGGGTGGGTGAAGAAAGATTAGTTGGTATGAAATGTGAAACTATTTACGACAAATAAGATCTACTTTTATTTAAGGCCCCGTCCACACGTATCCGGATAAATTTGAAAACAGATAAATATTTATACGGTTACGTGTTCCGTCCACACGTTTCCGGCGTTTTCGCCCACTGAAACCGGATAAATTTTGCACGTGTGGACGACTTATCTGGATAAATATGAAAACGATTTGAACCTGTATGGCGATTTATTCCACGTTATTTCGAGTTCTCCCAAACTCACACCAGTGTTTCTATAACTGTATAGATACACAGGAAATAATGTTTTCTATTTCTTTTATAATATGACTCGATAAAAATATTTTGTACAAATATTATAATTCGATTCAATTAGAAATTCCCGTGTTTCTATACAGTTGTATAGGAACACGCTTCTCGACCAATCAGCACGCGCGTACTATAAATGTTATATTATAAATATAGTTGTGTAACAAGTGTAGTTTTCTAGTCAGGGTATTTGTTTCGGTTGTAAAAAGTTGCAGTTAAAATCGCCCGTCAGGACTTTGTTCTCACATTTGATATTTTGTATTGGCGTTTTTAAAAAGAATTCCGCGCTGAGTCTCGAGGGCCATACCACGAACACAAAAGCGATTTCATCTTCGTTTTTTTACAATTTACAAACGTTACAATAAATTCTTATTGTTTTCTATATATTGCAATACGACACGGATGTATATTCATCTGCTTATTGTTGTTGCAAGTGAAATCCTATTTGTAAGCTTATCACTGTGATTCAACTTTACCTCTTATTTTCCTTTCTTCAAATATTTACGCGGTGTAACTCTGTCTGACTATCGGTGTAGCTCTTCTGACTTCAGTTCGACCCACTCTTTTATAAACTCCGAAAGTTTGCTCTAAATCAGCCTCTCTTTGCAAACCTTGACATTCAAATTACTATTCTGAAAAGCTGAAGAGTAGAAGGCGGAAAAAGGTAAAAGTCGGAAAGGGAAAGAAGGGTGAAAGGAGGAAAAAAGGGCGAAAGGCGGAAAAAAGGGTAAAAGGCGGAAATCGCCTCTTTTAGACCAGTCGTTCTAATGTAAGTAGCTATAACTAAGATTGAATTTCGTAAAATTAAAAACATATTGGTGAAAACTTTATAACTGGCTGTAATTTACTGAACTGATTTATTTACAACTATATTGTGTTATTATATACACAAGCGCCAGATATGAGGTATGCTGCAATTTCATTGGTTGGCTACTAGACAGATATCAGCTCATATCTGTCTAGTAGAGAAAGTAAACAAAATAGCTGAAAGATTTGGGGAGTTGAGTGAAATAGAAATCCAAGCTTTAGTTGATAATAGCACACCAAAATGCACCGAAAGAGCGACAAAGTTCATATACGACTATCAGCTCATATATACGACTCGAGTTCGCAGAATAACTGTTAAATACAGCCTATTGCTTGCCATTAATGCGTAGAATGCTTGTGCATTCCTAAACGCATGTTAACATATTTTTAGCGAAGTAAGTTATTTAGCAAACTTTTTGTTTTGGAAAACTTTTTACACAATAACAGTATAATTATTCATTATTCAACATGAGCGTACCCAGTCTGACGTTTTCGTTCCGCTGTGCCAATATTTTGGTGCACATTAACTGAGCAAACGAATTCCTTAAGAAATAAATATTTTCAACATAGGGAATAGTGAGAGGCATGCATGTGTACGACAGCGCTGGTGTTAACTGAAAAACATTATTCATAATCTTATACTGCATGTATGTATCACAATGACTGTAACTAAAAGGGCCGCCTTTTACTCTTTCTGCTGTTTTTTCCGCATTTCACCCCTTTTCCGCCCTTTACCCTTTTCTCCGCCTTTTACCCTTTTCTCCGTCATTTATCATTTTTTCTGCTTTTCCGTGTTACCGCTTTTCCGTTTTCGTCTTTTACCCCAACTCTGTTTAACTTCGTGAGCAAACTAGAATTTAAATTCGCTCACAAAGATAACGTCATTCCCATATTTATACCCATCAATTGTTGATCAACATGAGTTTAGTTTTAAATTAATTTCAGATAAATTAAAGAATGACGTAGTCTTCATGGGATCTCATTGGTTACCCAGAAAACACGTGATAAGATAATTTTGTCCCAACCGCGCTCAATTAACGTAGCCATTAAGAAACGCGTAGCCGTTGAGAACAGTCATTTCAAGAGCCTGGGAGTTCTGTTTTAACAGTTCGCTGAGCTAAAGTCAAAAGAGAGAGGTTCACATATTCGAAGGTGAATGTATAGAGGTATAGGAACTAACTTAAGTGTTAAAAGTTTGTTTCACAAATATATATATATATATATATAAAAATATATATATATATATATATATATATCTATATATATATATATATATATATATATATATCTATATATATATATATATATATATATATATATATATATATATAATTATATATATATATATATATGTATATAGATCGGCGTAAACCAGATCTGGGCCTAAATTCTATGAAATTGCGCTTCGCTGCCTGCTGACGATCGTACAGCTGCACTGCCAAAAAACTGGCGTAGCTAATAGGCATGAACCCATCTGTGACCGGATTCACATCAGACGAGTTTCCGTCTCATATGAGTTTCCCGTCTAAAGCCGTGTTTACACGAAGGGGCTGACATTTACCCGTACCTAAGACGTACCTAACCAAGTTTTGCAGGGTGTGTTTACACCAGTTACCTAACGGGACTTATATACATTCACGCAACATAAAGTACTTTGAGAAGAGTATTAAAATAAGCTTGCAGTTCTTTGTTTGTTTATTTCGTACAAACTACAAAGCCTCGTAAAAGAATACGACGTAGTGATTACTGGGATTACTGGCAAACAACGATTTCATTCAAAATTAAAAAATATATGATATAACTTATCGGCAAGTTCCGAAATTCGCCATGTAGCTAATTATCAACTCTGAATTTCCCCCTAATTTTTGCAAAATCGCGCGAAAATTCCAAGACCGCTAAATGCTGACATCAAAGACTCGAATTTACGTTTGTTGTCATGGAAATTAGCTTCGATCACACTTGGGTCAATGAAAATGTGTTTACACCGCCAGACTGACCTGAGACTTACCTAGGACTTACCTAATACCATGTTTTCAGGACACCTCTAATGCTTGGCCTGAAATCATGGTCTTAGGTCGGTCCTAGGTCGGTCTTAGGTCAGTCCTAGTGCGTTTACACTACAGGACTAACTGCTTAAGTTAGGTCTAAGGTCAGGTATGGGTCTCTAGTGTAAACACTGCTTAAAACGAATTCCCGTCTCTAATACGAATCCGGCTCTTCATTGTTAAGTACTGTAACAGCTCAACGCCGGTTTAACATATAAGTTAGGATTGACACAAACAAAGTGAGTTCTACACTAATAATATACATGCAGCTAAAAATTTCTGATTCACAGTGATGTCGAGAAACATTTAAGTTCGTGAGCAGGATAGTCAGTACAGAAATGTGACAATGACATTGACAAAACCCTCACACCTGATCGCTAGATGACCCATCATATATCTGCGACCAGATTGGTCACCCAATGAAAGGTGTACTTTTGATGACAATTATAATTTTCACTTGAGAGTCTTGTCCGTTTTTCTTCGGGGGTTTTATTTCAATCAAAATTTAATAAAATATATCATACAGCTGCATGCATGGTAAGGCCTTAAAAAGGCTCTTTTCCACTCATCGCAATGGCCAACTCGCTGCGATGGTTTTCATAGAGGTATATTCATATATTCATGTTCGTACAAACGTAGAAACAATAGCTAACAAAAGAGATCAGTCGGGCATAATAATAATATATGAATATGCACACCCCCCCTAACTGGCGACAGCTCTGGTGGGTTTTTGCGTGGAAAGAACTTTTAGGTAAGGGCGAGGAGGGGCTTAGGATTCGATATGTCATGATCGGGCCAGGAATCTGGAACAAGAATTGATAATGTGGATAAAGTTTTATGCATTCTTCACGCAGTCTCCTTTTTGACAAAATGACTGAGATACTCGCTTCGAAGAAGGGGGTGAACACTTACGTCAGAAAGCCAGCGTTACATGTGTTATCGCAGTTAATACACGCCTAAGTTAGAAACTTCAAAATATAAATATAAATAAAAAATTAAGAATATATCGCTGTTATCGTCACTCCATCTTCATCACAATAAATTTCACTTTTTTAATAACTTCGTGCATTAGAAAAGATTGTGTTTTTATTTGTTTCATAAAGGGTCAGGATTTGCAATGACGTCGACAAGTGATATAACTGCGACATTAAGTTCTACAAATCCAACAGAGATGTCTAGGCTTACAGAAAGTGATCGGTTGAAACTGTTTGCATTTTTGGAGCGACTTATCCTGGGCGTGAAAATTGTATTCATTTTGATCGCCATATTCATAATTCTGGGAAATATGCTGGTGTTGATTGCGACCTGGAGAGAAAGAAGTCTTCATCAACCAAGCAAGTATTTCATCGCTTTTTTGGCTTTTGGTGATCTTTTGGTTGGTTTATTCACAATACCAGTCGACGTGTATATTCTATCTATATTAATTGAATTAAGATTTTCAATCCCTATTCATTTCTGTCGTTTCATGGAGTGGATGAGTATCTTTGCGGTAACAACATCCATTTGCACACTGACATTCATCAGTTTTGACCGATATCTCAAAATCAGCAAACCACTTAAGTACAAATCAAGAATGACAACTTCCAGATCAGTAAAGATAATTTTCTCCATTTTTCTCATTTCAACTGCTTTTGCAACTTACTCAGCGACTCAAATTTCGACCACCGGGCTCGTTCTTTGCATTAATGACTCTGACACAAACAAATCCAAAGTATTTGACCTTGTTTCATCAATACTTGGGTTTAGTCTGCCTGCAATTATCATCTTTATCATGTACACTCTCATTTTTCTTTTCGCTCACAAACGAAACAAAATGCTCGCGAATGGTGAACTGGGCGAAACAATCAACGATCAGAACCGACGAACTGTATTACGTCGAGATATGAAAGTGATTAAAATGCTGTTGGTTGTCGTTGGAGTTTTCTTACTTTGCTGGGGTCCTTCGTTTATCAGTACGTTGGTGTTTCTTTACCATCCTTGGCCTGACTGGCATAACAATTCATTAAGCGACTGGTACCGGGACTTAATTATTCTTTTTATCGTGTACGCACTTCAATTTGTTAACAGTCTCTGTAATCCAATAATTTATGCCTGTCTTGACCAAACGTACAGTGAAGCTTTCAAACATTTGTTTCGCCGAATGATGTGTCGCGGACGAGATTCAAGAAGACAACAACCACCAATAGAATTACAACTGCGAGCTTGATGAAGTATCACTGAAGAAGATGCACTAAAACTGAGCTATATTGATAAACTGTAAATACGCGACTGTCCGCGCGGAAGACTAAGCCTGTGACACAAAAAAGAATAATCATTATCGCGAAACGTAGACTCGGCTCCCGCATGCAGTAGTCCGAGTAATTAGGCCTCTTTTGGGTTAGTTCTCGAAATGCACCGTCAAATTGAATGAATTCGCTCATCGATTTCTAAACATAAATCTTGCTACTGCTCTCTATATTTAACTGAAGTGAATGATTTCATTTTACAGTCACATTTTTACATGTTCAGCTGTTATGAAAGTAGGTAAAAATTGGACAGAAACCCATTCTTGTTAAGGACTTTAACTGGTCATTTTTATGTTCATTATACCTATTATAGTCATGCATTTTGCGATATGAGGAACTTTGTTAACGGGAAAATTAAAATTTAAATTAAAAGGTTAATTATAGATAATGCAGAAAAGTAGATATATTATATATTTGCAGACTAGATCCTAAACATTTTTCAAACATCACTTTCAGTAGATGATAAAGCTTTTGTAGTCACATAAACATTCACTGAATTCAATAAAACGACATTGTATATATACATTGGTAATTTTCCAGGTAATTCCTATATATATATATATATATATATATATATATATATATATATATATATATATATATATATATATATATATATATATATAGATCAAAATGTAGTAATGATAATGCTAAACAACTATAATCATATAATAGTTTACGAAGGTTAAGAAGTATATGTATATGAATATATAAATATACTTTATGTATATAATAGTATAGAAAAGTTAACGAAAGCCGTTCACGAAAAAGAATTTTAAAAATGCATTTCTAGATGGTTATATGTAATAAAAATTTGTAATTTGCTTGATTTGAATAAATTTCAACTTTGATTAATTTTTTTAAGCGCTTATTTAAAATACGAGTATGTTTCAATTAAATTAGTGCACAGTCACATTAGACGACGTTATTATAAAGCGTCTGCTATACCTGATCCAGCTTGATCATTGTTATGCTTCCGGTCCGTTAAACTGTCCCTCCACCGGTGCAACTATCTCGAAAAATCCCCTTTAATCATTTCCTTTATACAGTAAAACAATTAGTCTTTTGCAATCCAATAATTTATGTCGTCTTAATTGACAAAGAAGTTTTCAAACATTTGTTTCGACGAATGATATGTCGAACAAACCAAAGAAGACAACAACTACCAGTAGACAAACTGATAAAATCGGTATAGCTTCTTTGATGGTCGGTAGCGTAATTTTTTAGACCAGTTTTCTCTCAGCCAAATTTTTAGCGCTTTATTGTGTGATTCTTTTTACGCGGTTGCACGCTGCCTCAAACATCGAACCTGTGATTGAACCAACGGCTGGTTGCTTTTATGTATTGTGAATGAACGATTTGTAGTTAATGTAAAAAAATGAACCCTTTTACGAGTGAAAGTGAACTTGAAATTTTTCCTCGATTGATGAAAACAACTGCAGCGTTGTTTCTAAATGTTGTTTATTTCGTTTACTGTCTTTTTCTTTTTACTCTCGGTTTTGTGGTTATTTGAAGAAAAAGGAAATAACTCACGATTCTTATACTTGCTGCATGCCTATCTAGTGCATGACAAAAAGTGAATAAATTCTCAGTTTATAGCAATCATAATGGTAAATCGTCTAAAATATAAAAATTATTCGATTCGGTACATGAAAACGAGCTTAATATATAATAATCTACCTTCGATGGTGTATTTCGAATGGCATAAAAAGTGTATTTCCTCACGGAATTATTAGTCGTTTTTCTTCAATATCTTAAAGACCCAGACCTCTCCCCCCGGGTATAGAGTCGCAGCTCCTCTCAAGAATGATTTTCATTGGCTGAACTTTACAATACATTTCTGTTTCAACCAATAGCATAGCTTCGTTCTTTAGATAGCATAGAAAAGCATTATCCAATTGGACGAAAGCTTCCGAGCACTGCGACATGTCCCAAACCTCTTTCAACATGGAATATTGGATCAAGACTAATTTTGATAAGTGGGCAGTGCAGATAATTCCCTTATTTTGCATCATAAGTATATTTTTTCATATTTCTATATATACCTTTTTCAATTTTAGCCATGCAGGTTATAGGGCCATAAGTGTAAAGGGTCTATCAATTTCAAATGCAGGCCGTCAAATGAAATGCAGTCTGTTAATCGCATATAGATATACCACTTAAAACGGACCGCCCTAATTTCATCATGGGAATTAAATTGAACTATAGTCTTTTTGGTATTTTGAAAGTTTTGTTAGGCTTTTCCTTATTTCCTTGTGAAATATTAAACCGTTATATAATTAACTGAGAAGCAGCTTAATTAAAAATTATAACCTTTTTCAATAAATGCCTGATATTTCTGCACTAATGTAAACTAATATGTTGTAATGTCATGACATACAATATGCTAATGTCACTAACCCGAAAATTGCCCAAGAATAAACGCTCCTCTTGCTCAATTTAGGTAAATTTGTATTTGCTCCCATAATAGTCTGCATCCTAGCCTCTCAGAAATCTATTGTGCCCTTGTCTGATCTGGAGAATAACTTTAAGTGGTATACAATTGCACTGGTGGATTCTCGATGTTGATTGGTGCGAAGGAATTAATTATTATAATAAACAATATCACATGAGTCTTTATAACTACATCTTAGTCGCGTTTACACTACCGTCAATTTGTTGGCACAACACGGCTTAAATCGGTACCGCGTATAGCAATTTTAGTCATGGTTATAGGGCCATAAGTGTAAAGGGCCTATCAATTTCAAATGCAGGCCGTGGAATAAAATGCAGCCTGTTAATCGCATATAGATATACCACTTAAACGGACGGTCCTATAATTTCATCCTAGGATTTAAGGCTTTTCCTTGTGAAATATTAAATCTTTATATTATAATTAACTGAGAAGCAGCTTAATTAAAAATGATAAACTTTTTCAAAAAAGTCTGATATTTCTGCTCTAATGTAAACTAATATGTTGTAATTAATTTTTTAATATTTTAAGTTATTCAACTACGTTTTTTGCAACCATAATGTCGTTTCCGTATTCACATGCATCAATTGTTGATCAACAATTGACTAGTTTTAAATCATTAATTTCAGACAAATTAAAGAATGACGTAGTCTTCATGGGATCTGATTGGTTACCACAGAAAACACGTGATAAGATAATTTTGTCCCAACTGCGCTGAATTAAAGAGACACGTAGCCGTTGAGAACAGTCATTTCAAATTCTAATATTCTAAGAGTTAAGAAAGTGATTATCAATTGGGAGTTCTGTTTTAACATTTCGCTGAGCAAAAGTCGGAAGAAACAGGTTCACATATATTCGCATATATATTCGAAGGTGAACATATAGAGGTATGAACTAACTTGAGTGTTAAAATGTTGTTTCCCAAATATATATATATATATATATAAGTGACAACAATATAGATCGGCGAGCTTTATCTAAACCTTATATTAATGTAAACCAGATCTGGGCCTGCCAAACATTTACTAACTTCAGTTACTGGCTTACTGCGATTTTTACCGTGAAATTTTATGAAATTGCGCTTCGCTGCTTGCTGACGATCGTACAGCTGCGATTTCAAAAAACTGGCGTAGCCTCAAACCCATCTGTGATCAAATTCACATCAGACGAGTTTCTCTACGACAAGTTTCCGTCTCTAATACGAATTCGGCTATACAATATAAGTTGGGATACAACAAACAAAGTGAGTTCTACACTAATAATATACATGCAGCTAAAAATTTCTAATTCACAGTTCTGTCGAAAAACATTTAAGTTCGTGAGCAGGATATTCAGTACAGTAACGTGACAATGATATTGATAAAACCTTGGCACCTGCTAAATGACCCATCATATATCTGCAACCTGATTGGTCACCCAATGAAAGGTGTACTTTTGATGTCAATTATAATTTTCACTGTAGAGTCTTGTCTGTTTTCCTTCGGGGGTTTTATCTCAATCAAAATTCAATAAAATATTGTGCTTGGCGGCTTTCTGACTATATCATACAGCTGCATGCATATACATATAGTCAGGCTTCAAAAAGGCTCTTTTCCACTCATCGTAATTTCCAACTAGCGTGCTCGCTGCGAAAGTTTTCATACAGGTATATTCATAATTTCATATATTCATGCATGTTCGTACAACCGTAGAAACAATAGCTAACAGAAAGGGCCTTTAGAATAAGAGCGAGGAGGGGCTTATAATGCGATATGTCATAGTAAGGCCAGGAATCTGGAACAAGAATTGATAATGTGGATAAAGTTTTATGCATTCTTCACGCAGTCTGCTTTCTGACAAAATGACTGAGATACTCGCTCCGAAGAAGGGGGTTAACACTCAACGTCAGAAAGCCACCGTTACATGTATTATTGCAATTAATACACGTCTAAAGTGTCGTCGTTATAACTGCGTGCATGAGAAAATATTGTGTTTTATTTATTTCATAAAGGGTCAGGATTTGCGATGACGTTGACAAGTAATATAACTGTGACATTAAATTATACAAATCAAACAGAGATGTCTTGGCTGACAAAAAGTGATGTGTTGAAACTGTTAGCATTTTGGGAACGACTTATCCTGGGCATGAAAATTGTATTAATTTTGATCGCCATATTCATAATTCTGGGAAATATGCTGGTGTTGATTGTCACTTGGAGAGAAAGAAGTCTTCATCAACCAAATAAATATTTCATCGCCTGTCTGGCTGTCGCTGATCTTTTGGTTGGTTTGTTTTTAGCACCACTGAAGGTGTGTCTACTCGGTTTCAATATCGAATCGTTATTTTCAATCCCTGATCATCTTTGTCGTTTTATGATGTGGATAGACACCTTCGCCTTAGGATCATCTATTTATACCCTAACATTCATCAGTTTTGACAGATATCTCAAAATCAGCAAACCACTTCTGTACAAATCACGAATGACAACTTCCAGATCACTTAAAGTTATTTTCGTCATCGTTCTCATTTCCATTACGCTTGCCACTTACTCCGCCACTCCCGACTCAGGGGCCGATGGAATTCTAACGTTCGAGTTTAACTTTTGCAATATTGGCGCTGATGGCGAAAAAAGGAAACTATTTTACCTTTGTTTATTAATAATTGGGATTCTCCTGCCCACAACTATTATATTGAGTATGTACACTCTAATTTTTCGTATTGCTCACAAACGAAACAAAATACTCGCGAATGGTGAACTGGGTCAAACAATTAACCAACGAACTGCATTACGTCGAGATATGAAAGTGATCAGAATGCTGTTGATTGTCGTTGGGGCTTTTATATTTTGCTGGGGTCCTTTGTTTGCATGGACATGGCTGCTTATTCACCATCCAAATGTTGTTACTTTGAATCGCGGTTCATTTAGCCACTGGAAGGTGTTGCTCTTATTTGAAACCATAGTTTTAACACTTCCATATGTTAACAGTCTTTGTAACCCAATAATTTATGCCTGTCTTGACCAAACGTACAAAGAAGCTTTCAAAAATTTGTTTCGCCGAATGATGTGTCGCGGACGAGATTCAAGAAGACAACAACCACCAATAGAATTACAAAACCTGCGAGCATGATGAAGAAACCTATATGAAATTAACTTGCACAGCAGTCTATTTCTAGTCGCCCGGTAGCCGTTAACTTGGGCTATGTAAACGGTAAACAACTGCACTGAAACTTGTTGATAAACTGTAATTACGCGACTGTCCGCGCGGAAGACTATATAATCGTTCGACACACAAAAAAAAATAATAATCGCGAAACGTAGACTCGGCTCCCGCAGTAGCCCGAGTAATTAGGCCTCTTTTGAGTTAGTTCTCTGAATGCACCGTCAAATTTCATGAATTCGCTTATCGATTTCTGAGAATAAATCTAGCCACTGCTCTCTATATATAACTGAAGTGAATGATTTCATTTTACATTCTCATTTTTACATGTTCAGCTGTTAAGAAAGTACGTAAAAATTGGAAAGAAACCCATTCATGTTAAGGATTTGAACTGGTCATTTTTATGTTCATTATACCTATTATAGTCATGCATTTTGCGATATGAGGAAATTCGTTAGCGGGAAAATAAAATAAAAAGGTTAATTATAGATGTTGCAGAAAAGTAGATGTATTATATATTTCCAGACGATCCTAAACATTTTTTAAACATCACTTTCAGTAATGATAAAGCTTCTGCAATCACGTAAACATTCATTGAATTCAGTAAAACGACATTGTATATATACATTGGTAATTTTCCAGGTAATTCCTATATATATAGATCAAAATGTACTAATTAAAATGCTAAACAACTATAATCATATAATAGTTTACGAAGGTTAAGAAGTATATGCTTTATATATAAATACTAAAAAAATTCACGAAAACAGTTTACGAGAAAGAATTTTAAAATTTCTAGATAGTATCGTTACAAGAATGGTGCAGCGCATTGTATAAATAAATAAACTAAATACTGTATGCCATATAATAAATCCCTCATTAACCGAATACGTTCGGTCCGTATTGGAAAAATATCAGACCTCGGTTTTTTATGTACGGACCTCGCTATCGCTCGGTCCGTACTGTCAAGACCTCGGTCTGATATTTTTCTAGTACGGACCTCAAATTCGGTTAGTAAGTGGTATATAATTTGCTTGATTTGAATAAATTTCAACTTTGATTAATTTTTTAACCACTTATTTAAAACAAGAGTAGATCTGATATGCAGGATGAAACACTCTTGCCCATGTTTCAATTAGTGCACAGTCACATTAGACGTTACTATAAAGCGTCTGTTATGCCTGCCTGATCATTGTTAGCTTGATCATTGTTGTGCTTCCGGTACGTTAAACTGTCCCTCCACCGGTGCAACTATCTCGAAAAATCCCTTTCATCAGTCAAAGGGCATTGGTGTTTCCGAGTATTTCATTTGCTATGCACAGTAAAACATGCATCTCCTGCAATCTAATAATTTATGTGATATTCACTGACAAAACGTTCAGAGAAGCTTTTAAACATTTGTTTCGATGAATGATATGTCGAACAAACCAAAGAAGACAAAGAAGACAAGAACCACCAGTAGAATTACGATTACTAAGAAGCAGATAAGGGAAACTTGCGTGGCAGTAACCGAGTAGCCTAAATGTAAAAGTTAAACATTTTCACGGGCGAAAACTCTAAAATTGTCTCCAATTGATGAAAATAACTGGCTGAATAATGAAACAGAAAAACATTACTGGTCGTCAGCTCACTTCTTGTTGAACGGCTGTTTGGACATTTTTTGCAGTGTGTAACTTCAACAGAACGTTAAAGCATGCAATTAATGTCTAACTTTTCTGCAAACAGTGCATGTCTCGATGTATTTCATTTGACTATTGTTGCTGATGTTCTTTTTCTATGTGTGCCGATTTCGCTTTCTGAAGGAAGAGATTTGACGGTAAGCTGTCAAGAGCTGTTAAGAATCAGAGAGAGTGCAAGCTTTCGGGGATAGAACCCTCAAAAGTATCTCCTCTGCTGAAGTTATAATGTGGACTTAACGTTAAATTTTCTTGCATTATGATTGAAAAAGGAAACCTGGGATATTACAATAAAAAGTGTGTAAACAATATGAAATGGCTGTAAATCGTGACCTAAAGGAAATGAAGTTTCGGTACTTTACTTTTTTTCTAAAATTTCGCAAATCTACAATTACATTTACTTTTACAGCAGCACGCGCGTCCTTGTTTAAATCATAATATACGGTTTCGGAAAAACTTGATTTTTTGTTCGAGTGGAAAAAACAATATTTCACGAGTGGGATATTGTTTTTGATACGAGAACATAATTACATAAAATCCATACCTCATAAACTAAAATTCATATTATAAAACCGAATAGTTTTAAATTATAGCGTAATAAGAGGAGAGTGTCGCGAACCGCAAAGCATCTATGTTTGGAGGGACAAATGATTTTAGACTTTATTTCCTGCCCCTCCAAAAAGTACATAGATGCTTCGCGGTTCGCGACTAGATCCAGTATCCTGCTCGATAGGGAAATGGCCAACAGTCGCACTTTTATCCCCACATGTACACGCTCGCTCCCCCTCGCGTTTTCGTTTCATTTACGACGCTCATTTCGTTTTATATACAAAGACCATTTTTATTTTGACAAAAACAACAACAATATAAATGGCGGGATATTTTTGAAATTCCTTAAATAAATAAAGTATAAAATTTAAGAATATGCCAGTTATCTTCAGTACTCTAAATTTCATTTATAATTAGCACGTGCATTAGAAGAGATGAGAAGGTCATGCAGGTCAGGATTCAGTTGCAATAGCACATGGCCATCACATAGCCATGATTAATCCCATAAGTGTAAAGGGCCTGTCCATTTCAAATGCAGGTCGTGGAATAAAATGCAGCCTGTTAATCGCATATAGATATACCACTTAAAACGGACCGTCCTAATTTCATCATGGGAATTAAGTTGAATAAACTAAAATTTTTTTGGTATTTTGAAAGTTTTGTTAGGCTTTTCCTTATTTCCTTGAGAAATATTAAATCGTCATATAATTAACTGAGAAGCAGCATAATAAAAAATGATAAACATTTTCAATAAATGCCTGATATTTCTGCACTATCTCATCATTAGAATGATTTCTCAGTTTATAGCAACGATAATGGTAAATTGTCTAAAGTACAGAAATTATTCGATTCGGCACATGAAAATTTCAATGTCTGAAACGGTCCTAATATATAGTAGGCCTACGTTCGATGGGGTGTTTCAGAAGACATACAAAGTGTATTTCGTTACCGAATTATTATAGTCGTTTGTGTTCAATATAATAAAGACCCAAACCTCTAGCAACATGGAATATTGGGTCAAGAATTACTTTGACAAGCGGGGAGTGCCGATAAGTGCCTTATTTTGCATATATAAGTATATATTTTTGTATCCTTGACCTTGTACGAGAACCACCTGACTTTTTGTTGAGATATCTGATCGAATTAAGGCGGGTTTTCACTGGGCAGAATTCTTCGATCAAACGTAGAATTTCGCTAAATTGATTTTTAGTTTGATTGTAATCATTCAAGTGAGCCACGTCTGTTGCGCTCACACATATGCAAACAAAATCAAACGAGAATTGTCCAAGAATAAACGCTCCTCTTACTCAATTTAGGTAAATTTGTATTTGCTCTCATAATAGTCTGCAACCTATAGCCTCTCAGAAACATACATATTGACAATCTATTGTGCCCCTGTCTGATCTGGAAAATAACTTTAAGTGGTATGCAATTGCACTAGTGGATTCTCGATGCTGATTGGTGCTCACCAAGTTGTAATTCTATTTTATGAAGCCAGCAAGTCGCTTTGCCAATATTAGCGACGGAATTAATAAACAATTTTAAATGAGTCTTTATAACTACATTTTACTCGCATTTCTTCAATTTGTTGGCACAACCTGGCTTAAATCGGTGCCCGCGTATAGTAGCCAGGTTATATAGGGCCATAAATATAAAGGGCCTATCAATTTCAAATGCATGCAGGCCGTGGAATGAAATGCAGTCTGTTAATCGCATATAGATATACCACTTAAACGGACTGTCCTAATTTCATCCTAGGAATTAAGGCTTTTCCTTGTGAAATATTAAATCGTTATATTATAATTAACTGAGAAGCAGCTTAATTAAACATGATAAACTTATTCAATAAAGTCTGATATTTCTGCTCTAATGTAAACTAATATGTTGTAATTAATTTTTTTATATAACTAACCCAAAAGTTATTCAACTACGTTTTTTGCAACCATAATGTCGTTTCCACGCGCATTTACATGCATCAATTGTTGATCAACATGAGTCTAGTTTTAAATCATTAATTTCAGACAAATTAAAGAATGACGTAGTCTTCATGGAATCTGATTGGGTACCACAAAAAAAGAGATAAGATAATATTGTCCCAACCGCGCTGAAATAAAGAGACACGTAGCCGTTGAGAACAGTCATTTCAAATCCTAATATTCTAAGAGTTAAGAAAGTGATTAGCAGAGCCTGGGAGTTCTGTTTTAACAGTTCGGTGAGCAAAAGTCGGAAGAGAGAGGTTCACATATACTCGCATATATATTCGAAGGTGAACATATAGAGGTATGAACCAACTTGAGTGTTAAAATGTTTTTTCACAAATATATATATATATATAACTATATATAACTATATATAACTATAGATCAGTGGGCTTTATGTAAACCTTATATTAGTGTAAACCAGATCTGGGCCTCCCAAACATTTGCTGATTTCAGTTGCTGGCTTACTGCGATTTTTACCGTGAAATTCTTTGAATTGCGCTTCGCTGCTTGCTGACGATCAAAAAACTGGCGTAGGCGTGCACGCAGCTACTCGGTGACGTGGTTATTTAAAGAAAAAGGAAATAATACACGATTCTTATCATTAGAATGATTTCTCAGTTTATAGCAACGATAATGGTAAATTGTCTAAAGTATGGGAATTATTCGATTCAGCACATGAAAATTTTAATGTCTGAAACGGTCCTAATATATAGTAGGCCTACGTTCAATGGTGTGTTTCAGAAGACATACAAAGTGTATTTCG